TTAACCTTTATGTTCATATTTGTTTTGCATACTTTATAGCTTACTTTGTCCTCTAATTCAGGCTCTATGGAGCCTTCAGCAAGAGTGATAATCATTTGGAAATACTAAAAAAAGTATTTCACTTACCGCATTGTTGTGAATCAATCACTTGCATTACAATATTGTGCTCTGATAATGGTGTCATGTAATGGTAATAAAGAAAACAGTCCTGAATTTCCCCAGTCCTTACATTCATTTATTTAGCTTTTTAATTATTTAAATATATTTTAAGGCAATCTATTAGTATATTTGTTGAGCAGGATGCATTTTCTCTGTGGGGAGATTTTAAAGATATGCAACTCCACAATAACTTCTTAATACTTGTAGAGAAATTTCGTTTTAACTTGACTTTTACGGAATCAGTGCAAAGGTCACAGCCATCTGAAGCAGCAGCCTTTTCTGCAGGAATAATCTGCTTTCATTGTTCCAATGTTCTGGTTGAAAGTGAGTTTTGTTCTTTGGACTTGGAAGTTTTGCTCAGTCATGTAGTTGTTCTGTATTTAGACTCATTTGTCATGGTCTGAGGTACTGCTGATGAGATCATTGGGCTGTACTTTGACTTGCAATCGTTGTTGATGTACCATTTAAACTTTTTGGACACTACACTTTTTTTGTTTTGTGCTTTCTAATGAAAGTGTACCTCACCAGCTCCAGCATTTCACTCTCTTATTCACTGTAGGGCACTTCAGGAAATGACTTTGGTCAGCCACAACTTTCTCGAAAAAAGAAGAAAAAAAAAGGCTGTCCACAATCAAGACTGTTGGTAATGTAACGGAAAACCAGTGTCTCCACTCCACGTAGGCATGGCATCCATCCACATGGCTCTATTTATGCATTTTAAAAAAAATATTAAAAGATCAACAAATGCAGAGTTAAGACATCTGTGGTACAAGCCAAGCTAAACCTTTATAACTAAATATAACTAAGATTTAAGTTACTAAAATAAGATAGAAACCAGATGCTGGAATTAGAACTAAAACTGTAAATGTACCTTCATTCACATATGTCAGTATTCAGTCGTAGCGGTCCAACACTGTGTCTTGACACACCGGCATAAAAACGGTTCTCTCAATATTGGTCTTATATCCTTGCAGAGAGCCGCAGTTCAAGTCATCAAGGCGCAGTTTGCGAAGACAAATAGAAACTTGTGGTTTATTCAAGTGGAGTTTGTATTCTAGCGACCAGTGATGAAAACACACACATATATATATATATACATACGGTGTGTATTTTTCTAATTTGCATTTTGGCACACGCGCAAAAAGCATTGAACAAAAAGATGACTGTTTTGAATGAAACGCAGTAAATAAGAATGTCCATGTTTCTCCCTGTAAGAGTTGTGTTTACTTTGGAGGTTTGGACTCTGGCCAGTGGAGGAGGAAAAGTTCTCAGAAATAATCAGTGGGCACACTTATTACCCAGGATTCTCTTCTTAAAATGGTACATGATACTCTCCTATGTCCCTGCTTCCAAGCGTCTGCAGATGAAGGAAGACATTTCCCCAGTTTTTGAGAAAGAAAATACTCGCCGAAACTCCATACCTCATTTTAGTTTAGTGTTTCACAGGGGCTCAAACTGAGCCCCAAAGGTTAAGATATTTATTCGTAATGTGTTGGAAAGGCAGCTTCACTTAGCAGGTTTGTAGAAAAAAGTCAGCATTGAGGTAAAAAAAAAAAAAAAGAAGCTAAATGTAACTAAAGTATTATAAAAGGGCTGACATTTCGCTCCATTTTGAAGTGTTCGACTGAAGTGAGAATGACCATAATGACGTAAAACTCAACATGTAAAACTAAATAGATCCATGACATATATGAAGTGCTTTTTAATTTCCATTCAAACTGTGAAAATTCACAGAACTGCCGAACCAGCGGTACTACGTCACTATGCATTGATGATAATTACACTTGTCCTTCCAGAGCAGCTACCATCCAGATTCACTGTTTCTGGTTTCCTGTTGGTTCGGCTTTCACCTAAAGTAACACCAGCCGGTTATTCAGATGAAAATAGTATAAATGTCTCGGCAGCGGTCAGTGGAATATTCTATATTGGCATAGTTGGTACAGTAAACAGGTAGTATCTATCCTTGTTCGCCTATGGTCAAATGTTGTTCCATCTGTGGTTGTTTACTGTGCAAAGACATAAACGTCTTCATTCTGGAAACTTATTCAGCTCTCAGACTGGACATCCTTATTTCAGGACGGCAAGTAATGAAAATATTGATGGATTGAGGTATTATGGTTTCGTGTGAGGCAAATCCAAGACGGCTCGGTATTTACAGTTTAATTTTAAGATCAGGAAATTACGCACTTGCATCAGAGACAATTTATACACATCTTTGTTCCCAAATGGCTCCGATTTGGAAGTATTTTAGCTGCTTATTTTAGATTATATAGATGCACCAAAAAGGGCTGAAAAACTCCGGAAGATAGCAAAACTTAACTTTGCAGCAATAGATGTCTCTCCTTTGTAGCAGCAACTGCAGAAAACTGCTTTGTGTACAGTACTTCTACTACAGTAACTTCCTATTTTAGTGGCAGAACGTTAACTAAGTACATTTACTCAAGTTCTGTGTTCACTGTAAATTAAAGATACTTGTATTTCTTTTCCACATTATACCACTTTATACTTCTACTCCACAGCACTTTAGTGGGACATATTGCAGTTTTTATTTCACTAAATTTATCCAACATCTTCACCTCGACCAGCCACTAATTAAAATGCTGCTTACACATTAACAATAATTCAATAATATATCATGTAATAATATGACTTCAACAAGGGCCATTCTGCAGAGGTATATTTTGTTGGTAATACTTTACTTAATACGTGTACTCTTGTAAAAAAAAGCATCCTTACATTGTTGCATGACTACTTTTACGTAAGTGAAAGATCAGAGTACTTCATGCACCTCTGCATTTTTCGTCGTGAGAAACATAAAGCAACATACAGTTAATGTCTGTATAAAAAATTAGGATTCAACAGATATAGCTTGTTGGAAGCCTAAACGCAAATATTAGTGTTCAATCTTCCACTTTTAAAAGTGTTTGTTTTGTGTCACTCAGAAATACTAGTTTGTCTCTCGTAAACAACATCTGACAAACAAACAAATCCTGTGGCACCGTCGATTATAGTTACAGACAGGACAAGAGCATCTCCACACATAATATTCATATAAACCTCTTCACTCTCTCTCCGTCCCTTTGCTTCTTTAGTCTCTGATTGTTGGGACTAAATTGCCTCTTGACAAATTATTTCATTGATGCGTAAACCTGACAGCAGAATTAGATGTTTTTAGACCCAGACATGTAATTTGTGTCTGCAGCTGACTCCGTCTGTCTTTAATTTGTACTGTTTGCTCTGCATCATTGAACCAAATAAATAAGACTGGGAGTTTTTTTAGCCGTACCTCCAGGCTCACTGTAGCATACACGTTGGTTTGTGTTGCATTGTGCAGATACATACTGTATTTTACTGCCGTATTGGCTCAAAGCAGCATGAAAAAAAAACCCCATATGACAGCGTAGAAAATCCTGATGATTTGCTCCCTGATTTGCTTTTCAGCACTGGGTTTGAATTTTCTCTGTTTTCATTTCCACTTTTCTTGTCACGCTCTGTTAGAAATGTATGTAATCATTTTCAAGTCACATTCGTCATTAACCAAAATTGATCCACGGGCAAACAGCGAGCCAGTCAGTATGACCTAGAATGGAAAATCTTTCAATAGCTGGAAAACTACACCTCAGGTACCACTTTACTCTCAAACACAATGTTCAAAAGCTGAGAACATATCGGGTGTAAGAACATCCTTGCTATAATTTTCTCATGTCCGCTTAGTCACCTCTCAGTGGATATACAAGCTGGGACTATAACCAACAAGTGAAACGGAGACTGTTTATTCAAGGAAAAACATTTTTTTGCTTCATGACAGTTGAGACATAAATAAATACCACTTTTGTCATGAACACGCTGATGGGTGGACTGCTGCTGTCAAAGTACAATCTAATCTGACCTTCGAGACACAGACCAGGCCGCCTATCATCCAGGTCACCCTGTTGCTTTCCGTCATATTCCGTTTGAGAAAATGTCAGCAGTGTACATTTTCAGGATAAATTTCACAGACGGAAACTGGATTTAGAACGTGCTGCAGCGCAATGACCAGGGAAGCAAAAAGCAGTGGTTAGAGGGTTGTGAAGCAGCTGTGAAGAGGAAATCATGTCTGGAGGTAGCAAAAGTTGTTGATGCAACACTGAGTTATGGTCAGAAAGGTTGAAAAATGTAATTTGAAGGGCAAGTCCATTATTTATTTATTCATTATCTGTTTATTTTTTTCATGTCATTCTTTACAACACATTTCCAAATGGTTTGTATCAAATTCAAACATTCAAAATTTGGTCGAAATATGTTTTAGTGTAAAAAATGATATTTTCCCAAGCCCTTCTAAAAATGTGTTCAACGTAAACTGATGTAGGTTTCTGAATGGTGATGCTGATACATATATACATATAATCGTATCCATAATCAGTGTATTACCTACAGTGACTTTGATGTTACATAATAGAGAACACTATGTTGTATAAATAAAGAAAATGTCATGAAAACGTCTGGTTTCTTGTAGTTAATTACTGTAGTGTAACATTGTTTTTCCCAGGATTACCCTTTTAGATAATGGATGAATCCGTATTAATTAAGTGTCATCTGTGAGTGCTATTTGAGAGCCAGCTGATGCATGTCATGCTCCTTTTCACTCCAAGAGATAGGTCAGGAACTTTGAGTCAGATCCATACGGGACCGGAAATGTTAAATTACGAAAACACCCTGTCTTGTAAAAATAGCGTTGATCATGTATTGACTGAAAGATGTTGTTTATTGATGCAGCTTGGTATTTACAACATGCACCATGTACATCACTGCCAATTACCCTTAAATATTTCCCTTTATTAACTCTATTTTCTAATTTGCAGGCTTACGGAGATGATGTTCTGACGAAAGATGAGCAGATAGGCCTGCTGTTCAGAGCCAGACGGAAGTGTGAGGGGAACATCAAGTCAAAGCACAAGGTTCCTGGTGAGTAGAGAAACAACACGCTAATGTCACAGTGGTGACACATTATGATCAGATTTTTACTTTAATTTGCAAGGACATCTTTTGCTCCTTTAACCTAACTGTGATTTATGTCATGCCATAGTAAAACGGCAAAGGGGTCATCTTGTTGATGTTTGATTTTTGGAACGATAACAGATCAAAATCCATAAACCTGTTAATTGTTTGCATATATATCGACCAAAATACCTTGCTTAGCAACGCTGAAAGAAGTTAATTGTGTAGGAAGTAAGAGAAATCAGCAAAATAGGCTCAGCTGTTGAGGGAGCTTCCCACTGAATTCCAGCTGCAGCGAGAGGTTCAATGGGGAGTGCAATAAATCCCCCAGGGGCTAAACAGAGCAGAACCCCATGGCCACAGATTTGAAATACACATAATGCACAAGGCAGGGCAGGCCAATAAGATGTAAGAGGAGTACCAGGAAAAAGCTGGAGTAATGGAGGAAGAAATCAATCAACACAAAAGGTAAAGTCTGCCAGGAACTGTGAGAGTAAACAGCGCAAACCAGCAGCAGCAGCACGATGACCGTGAAGAGTTTGAGTGAGAGAGACTGCAACGACAGCCTTGTCTTGATTGAATGTGATTGTTGATTTGTTTGAATGTGTTTGTTGGTGATAAGAGTTCATACTAATCAGCTGATGACGTGTGCCACCTTGATGCTTACTAAAAAGAAAAAGATCAAGATGCATGTCACTGTTCTTGTCTACTTATTTGCTCATACAGTACAGGACGCTCAAATCAAAAGCCTTTTTGTGGAGCAGTGGCCTTTCAGTTAAATGTTGTCTGTAAGTTGGTGGTTACATTATGAAATGCTTTTCTGTTTCCTTTGCCCTCCTTGGGGCTTTCCGGAGGCTGATAATGAAGTTGTAGCTGATCCTGGGGTGTATTTGTGTGTTGAAAGCACTATTTTCCAGCAGACCCCAGCATCTACTGTATCTCGTTGCGGTTACTGTCAGTTTCCCAGTTGATTGTCCAGACGAGGATTTTGGATTCCACAGCCAAACCAATCATATTATTTTCTCTTTAACCCCAGTGCATTGTGGTCGCATTGAATGCTTCGACCCTCCAAACCATACCCACTTGTAAATGAAACACATAATTACAAATGTTTTATTCCAGGCTGAGAACACAAAAGCTTTTTGTTGACTGTTCCCACTAGTTACAGTCAGTACATTGCCTTGCGTGGTATTTTAAACTTTTCATGGTTTTGATAATCCCAAATTGGATTTCGAAAAATATGACAGAATTGCTGCCATTGAGATCTGCAGGCGCCGTACAGCCGCTTGTGTAAGATGTCATGGGCTTACATAACAACGCTGTGCTTTTTCTCAAAGCGTCTGCAATAAGATGCTAATGCAAAGCAGAGCAGTCAGTCAAACATCAGGCCTCTCTCGGGTGAAAGTCTGCTGCCCATCTGACCGCCATCGCGCTTAATCCATCCTCACACGTCAAAGTGACAAGTGGCAAGCCTGCTGTCACACTTCACAAACAACCTCCAAGCACATGTGCAGCTGTCTTTGCATTTACATAATGTTTATAGATTGAATTTGAACCATGTTATAGAAGTGTCACGCAATCTTGACGAGACTAAGGTATGAGTGGCGCACGTGTCAAATTTAAATAATGTAATGATCAGTAAAGAAAAGTGACGGATTAATCGATAATATAAATAATAATTAGTTGCAAGTTTCCTTTATACTCTTTCATTAGCATGTTTCTCAACCAGCAAAGGTAGGATGTTTACACTGATTCTGGACTCTAATATTCCCATCAGGAACGTCTGACTGGGATTCTGTGAAAGGCTTGAGGGGCTGTATTGGGGATACATTAGCATCAGAGCTGACCTGCATACCGGATGCTGCTGGCACACAACGGAACGTGACTCATCCTGTATGTGAGGGCAGTTTTCTGACCTCTTTTGGAAGGTTGCACATGTGTGTTCAATCACATAACAGTTGAAGGAATTAAGATATTACCTTAATAAAGAAAAAAAAGAGTCCCCTATGTGGTTGTTGTATGCCTGGATAAGCACATATGTGCTCATTAAACAAGCTTGATTTGAGTTTTTTCTTTTACTTAATGACACGTGAATTACTTTGACTTCAGTTCATTTCACCCTGATTTGAACTTGAGCATCTCATCTGGTTCTTTCTTTCTAATTATGTAATGTAGAAATCATTTTAAATCGGGGTAGTTGTTTGTCTGAGATGCTGATTAAAACGTAGGAGGCTTTCAAGATTTGAGATAAAGTTCAAGGAAAGCATTACTTGTGCTTGCTAGTGACCTATGTAAGCCTTTTCCTTGAAGTGGTCATTAGGACTTGGACAGAATTCCTTCCTGTGATTTTTTCAAAACATTATTTTTTTTTCTTCTTCTTGTATTGTGGTGCGACCTTGATTGTGTGGGTTGAGGGAAACTCAGAGAATAGCAGCTAGTCTGCATTTTTCTGACTTTTTTGGCTTTTACATCTGTATTTGTCTTGCCTGTGTCCTGCCTGACCACCCCCAGAGTTTTTTAATTTTTTTTTCCGGCAGTGTAAACTTGTGGTTTTCTGAACTATTATAGGAGCTGTGGAGTAATGACTATTTTAAAACGCTAGTGTGAAACGTAGGATTGACGTTGAGGAATGAATCGATCGTGCAATTCCAAATTGAGAAAGGATTAGATTCTCTGTGAGCAGTTTTGATTGTATTTCAATATTTTATATATTTATTTTTTATTTCTCATTTGTGCTTTAAATACACAAAAGTCTCCATTACGTGGCTGAGACAAGGTTTTCATTGAGGGAAACACTGAGGTTTGCCTGGAGAGGACAGTGGAGGGATGTGGGTTCAATGCCCCAGACCTTGCAGTGTGTGAAAATAGCTCAGCCTTCAAGCTTGTGGTCTGGGTGAAGAATAACATCGGCAATCATTATAAAAGGTTGCATGTATCAGGAGAAAGTGCAATATGGGTGTTTTGACATCTGTAGGTCAGAATCAAATGAGTCGGGGGGGGGGGAAAGAAAACCATACGGAAAACCTCAGTGACATCACTCATACCAAAGTCCTCCCATGGTCACATTTATATTTAAATCGTGGTCACGAAACTTACGGGAAATTATATATGCGCGTGTGTGTGTGTGTGTGCTGTGTTTAATTCAAACCTGTTAGTAGGTGGTCCTATGGTAATAAAACCTATGGCAGAAATGAACAGCAATTCTACTTTTACTCCCAGTGTGTGTGGTCAGTGTGATTTTCAAAACGAAACGCCAACCAGAGATCTGTATGTATCAGTCAGCTCAACTCAGTCTGCTCTTTAATTTTGCGCTCCAAGTGACAGGCAAATAAAAAGCATGTCGTCATTGCTTCAGATGTTTCTCTGTAAGTGTGATTACAGGAATGAGAAAAATAATGGCTCTACTGCAAACAGAGGATAGATTTAGTTTTATCCATAGCTACTTATTTGTGGTCAAAGTGGGGCAGATGTTTTCAATAATACAACATAAATGCCAAGCCATAAGGGAGGCTTTTGCCAGGAATTTGTGGGGAAAGGGACTTTGCTCCCACTATCAGAGGGCTAAAGTCCACGATTTGACTGATAATTATGGGGCTATACACTTGGAAATGGCTTTTCCCCCCCCTCTGAACCTGCAGCTTTTTATATTAACTAATTTATATTGCTGCCAGGTTTCATGTTGTGCATTCTCTTTGAAAATGAGAAAATACTGAGAAGATTCCTGGACAACTTTTTGAATGCCAAATGTTTAAATGTTCCTCACCAGTTCTCAAATATGTGCAACTCATTAGATCAGCCAGGCCTGCAATTAAAACAGAACTGTGTGAAGTGTAATTATAGGTAGTAATGATGGTTCATTTATTTTGAATTGGTTTGCCTGCAACTGCATTAAGAAACGCAAAAAATGATAAGCGATGAGATCTTCTACAAGACATATAATAATTATGTTATAAGTATTGTTATTATTATTACAGCCATTTTATGTCTTTATTAGATAGTGACAGTAGAGCGATGACAGAAAATTAGCCCGATCACCACTCTACACATGACATTTCTTGCATTGCTGGACATCCTGGGAGAGAGAGATCTCTCCTCTCCCTGAGATTTCTTCCTTTTTTTGGGCGGGGTGGAGGGAGTTTTTCCTTGTCAGATGTTATTGTTATCCGATAATGTTGAACATTGATCAAAGGTTGCAGTTGTTTAACCAAGCAAAAATGGAAAACGTGTTTTCTTTCCAGCGTCTCAAATGTTAAGATTTGCTGTTTTTATGGGTTGTATACTATTTCAAAATGGAATATTCTAGGGGTTTGTGATCTAGGTCAGACAAAACACAACATTAGAGAATTGTGTGAAATGTGCATTTTCATAATTGTTTTTGACATGGTTTACAGTACAACAATCAACCAATTAATAATGGAAAAACTATAATTAAATCAATATTTTATATCTGCATTCCCAACTAATGCAGGTCAAAAACGAACTCAGGATACAGAGGGGAAAATACATTATTTAACGAAGAGCTTGTATTTTGCCATAATAGGATACAACTTGTTATCTGCATGCAGGGAATTCCATGACTGCAATTAGAAGGCAATAGATGGGGTGTTTGTTCTCTGGGTGAAACCATGTTTTCCTTTAACACAACAAAAAAAGGTCTCATTTAGAGTCAGACTTCCCACAAATTCCAAGGCTGTTCTGCAGTGCCAGTGTACATACTGTGTAACAACAGAATCCTTGAAAGAATACAACAGTACTGCTCTTGTAAATGCCTACAGCCATGTAATGCTAGAGCCGAGGGAGAACAGCACTCTGTGGCTCTATTTTTAAAAGTCAGCGCTGCTTTTGTGTCCGCAGATGGTTTCTGCTCACCAGAGTGGGATGGCATTGTTTGTTGGCCTGAAGGGCCTCCGGGAAAGCTTGTATCAACGGCCTGTCCAGAGTATATCCATGACTTCAACCATAAAGGTAAGACTGGCCCTGAAGACAGACAGCAATGGAAGCCCTGAAGCTCATTTTCAGCTGGTGAAAGAAGACCAGGCCTCGGGGGCTACTGTATGCTGTACAAGCTTAACTTGGCCTCTTTTGCATTTCTACAATTATGCAGGTCCTATTAAGAAGCAAGCTGGGGATGAGTAATTGACTGTGTTGGGGAAACAACTGGCAAAATCCTGTAATTAAAAGTAGCGTTTTCTGTTTGATGTCTAGGACTAGCATACCGTCGGTGTGACAACAATGGAACATGGGAGCTGGTTACAGCCAACAAGACATGGGCTAATTATAATGAATGTGCAAAATTCCTCTACCATTACAACCACAGCCATGAAAAGGTGAGATCCGTCTCTTCGCCATGTACATGCTCACAGTGCATTCCTCAACAAGAGCCTTTGCGAACGCATCAGTGAATTGACATGGTATATTGCAGCCTTTTAGGCAGCTGTTGCACCATTTTGCAATTGCAATCCCTTTTTAAGTGTACAACACGCTGTCGACATGCCTTCTCCGTAGTGTACACTGCTAATAAAATGTAATCATATTTAATGAAATGTCGAGATCGTGACAGCGAGATAATGACAGCATGGCAATGTGATTGCTCTGTGGTAATGTGAGGGTGCAATTCACTAAATGTATGTTCAAATATACAATGAAAGCAGTGTCACATTAGTCGTGATTGCAAAATTGCTAAACTTCCCAGAAAGCATCCCATTCAGAAAAATCCAAGAACTAAGCGATCATTACTTCGCAGCAACCAGACAGTGATAAAAAGAAATTTAGACCCATGGTCTCCACGTACTTATGTCATGTTGCTTTCCTGGTGATGATGTAATCAAAAGCGATAATTAGTGTATCATTGCTATTTGAGGCTATCAGTATGCTAAGCTATGTAGCACACCTTTAAATATGCATCTTTTTTTTTCTTTTATTTTTTAATCGTCTAAAATCTTGTAAATGTGATAGATTTGTAAGCACGATATTGCAGAAGGATAATTACTGCTGAACATTACACCCATGCAGTATGTGTTGCTGATTTTGAAACCTGGCTGAATGAGAGAAAATCCTTTCAGCCAGGTTTCAAAATCAAAGTATCACTTTGGTCAGGGACGGATGATTGGCGATTATCAGCTCACAGCTGGCGGTCCAACTCATCCCAGAAGTCCTCAAGGTGTTTGATAGTGAGAGGTCAGCATTCTGTGCAGACCAATCTAGTTCGTTTACACCAAACTCCGGCAGCCATTTCTTTCAGGACCTCACTTTCACCACATTTTCACATTGAAACTGGAAAAGCCTTCCACAAAGGCTACTAAAATGAAAGTGCACTTTGGTAGCAGACCGACGTTCTTTGGTACTTGCTGTCACAATTTCCCAAGGTTGATTGGTGGGTTATGAGATCACCTGTGGTGCAGGTCCCCTAATCACGAATTGAGAGCAGCTTGGTGCATTTCCCCTCTTGGCCATTCAGAGTGTGACAACGCTTTTCTGTAAGGCTTAAGAGAAGTGGGGAACCGAACCGCGCACCTAGGGCATTCTGATCCTTCCTTGATGTAATGCAAACCTCATTTCAGCAGATAGTGCCAGACAGAAAATCTGGTCGGTAGAGCCTTTTGAGACTTCTTTGCCCTCTTACCTTTTGCGATTGAGGATGATTTTGAGCATTGTGAAACCTGGCTGGAATGAAAATAAAAAAAACTTTCAACCAGGTTAGCTGCTTCAGCGCAGATCTTAGTCATATCTGGGCAGGAGTTTGTGCTTTCCTAACGGTAACCTAATGCCCGCAGGTATTTTCATTGAAGCCCTTGCATATTTCCTTATTATTGAAGAGCCATCTTATAATTGAAGACGCTTTTTCCAATATTATTTATTATTATTCAGGAGTTTCTTCATTGGGAAGATTTGTTTCCCCAAGTAAATATTTCTGGAATGTGAAGTGGTTCTTAGATTTCTTACCGATCAGCTGCAATCTGGGGAATCGGCGACGCAGCATGATTTCCATTCACCAAAGCCAAACAATTAAAAAATGGCTGCAGAATAGGCACAAGCACATACTTTCAGCTGTGTGGTGCGTTTGTATTTCCGGCTCCATTCTTGAATAGTCCGAGGCTAGCCATGTAAAAAACAGTTGTTGCATTATTTCAGTGGCAGAGCTAATATGGGGATGGTTTTTGTACCTGTCCCATTAGTAACCATTGATTATGCTATAATAACAAACTGATGTTTGTACATTACACACAAGCAGAAATCTGCTTCACACACAGCTTCAACCCAACATAAATACAGCAGCAGCATATAGAGTGCTGCAGGAATGACGTGTTTTTGTAGGCCAACCCTGGAAGTTAGCATCACACTGGTTCCCTCGACAAAAAGTCAACAGGATTTTAGAATTGTATTATTGCAGAAAGTGAGCTCTGTGGCAAGTTGAAGCAAAAGTAAAAAACCTGAAAGCGTTTTCAAAGAAGAAAATGTCTCACAAGACACTAAAGAAATACATCCCACAGTGTGCACTATATTGACCGAGATAGCTGATCTCTCCTGCTGTGGAGCCGTGCTGGCTGGGCCCACATGTAGCAGGATAATAGTAATATACTATCAGCTAATCTGAAAAATACAACCGTACACCTTCTGAATTCAATAAGAAAGGTGAAAAACGACTAGAAAGGGAAAAAATAGCACTTTGCCATTAATGTGTATATACACGTGTGAGATTTTCTATAAAATTGCTCGGTAATGATGCTGACATGGCTTTTTAAGGAATTTTTATGGTATATATATATGGTAAAACATTCTATAGCCTTTTAAATGGATAATGTGTATTATTATATTACATGCTAGTGTTAAGTGACCCTTCAGTTTGTTGCTAGTGGCTACAAAATATGTAGCACTTTGCCATTAGGGGACATAAGTCACTCATTGATTAAAAAAAACATTGATTTGATTTTTACAATTTTTTTCTATGAAACGATACAAACATTAGTTGGCCCACATACATTTTCCTCTCTTGAATGTGGTGCAGAGGATGTGGGCATAACCTCATCATGGCGCCCTGCAGTTTCTTTCTGGCTGCAGATGTTTATGTTGATGGGTTCCCGAGGGAGCGGTTGCAGCAGTTGATGACAAATGCATATGCACGAATGAAAGCCCCATACAGCACAACTGCCATACCGCAGACCACCACCACAACTTAGACACCCGTGTTTTGGCACAGCGTCCTGATGCTAAATGATAACAGCAGTGGAGTATCTGGTTACATCACAAGGGGCTCTTGGCCCCTTCCAGCATGTTGACGCACAGAAGGTCTGGTTAGTGGCCCTCTTACAGCGTCTCCTGGCTGCCAGCTCACTGCTGGAAGATCAAACTGCCCCACCCAGCTCTCAGCTCCGCCACCCATGTCAAAAACCGTTTCCATCAGTCACGTCTGGGTGCTTGAGACGTTTCTGTCGCCAGGTGGCAATGCATTTTTAAACATACTGAAGTTAACACATTTTGAAGTTCAGTTTTTTCGATATAGTGGGAATGTTGTGAAAACACGCTGTTTGTAGAAAAATCACTTGCCTTAAGTAATGCGGTCACTAAAATGTTGAACTTGCTGTGATATCATTAAGCATCAAGAAAAAGACTGAAGCTTACGTGTGTTTAACCAAGTCGTGTAACATTATATAAAAAAACAATGTTAGTTTTCCAAATTGTCACTAAAACTAAATAAAAACCTGGTATGAATGTAACTTTCCAACAGTGGGAGATAAATATAAATTTGTTTTTTTAAGAAAAGATGATATAATGTGTACTGACTGAATGTTGACATTTCATTGGTGTGACTGAGGCCTCTTGAACCTTATAGTTCATGAGCATACAAATATAGATTATGTGTCTTTCCACTGTTTGATGCTCACAGCTATCCTATTATATAATATCACTAACTATTTCTTCTCATAAATATGGAAACCTTTTATTCATGTTGCTATTCTAACATATTGCCCTCTACCAACAGGATGTCTTTCACCGCCTGTATCTCATCTACACAGTCGGTTACTCCATCTCTCTGGGATCCCTCATGGTGGCTGTCGTCATCTTGGGATATTTCCGGTGAGTCTTATGTTGTCTTTTGAATTTTTCCAATCAATCGTTTCAACCACAGATGCTCCCAAGAGAGGGATTTAGATGCAGAGTCGGAAAATAAAGGTTAGATCAATTACAGCAGAGACTACAACGGAGTGTAAAGGTTCACTGGCATGTTGGCACAGTAAAGACCAAATTCTTACCGTGCTATCAGTTGCAAACATACCGTGTAGACTTAATGCCTTTCATCATGAAACCATGCAATTCTCAGTAGCTGTATAAGCATGCAATGCAGTGTGTTTTCTGTCACGGCAACAAAATGAAGCATGCAAGCTCTATCAAACATAACCTTTGGCTTTTACTTTGACTTTTAACAGACTATGATATGTTCACCTTTTGAGAAGGAGTCTGCCTCCGGGCTTGCAGTAATGCATGTTCCGTTGTCTGACATTTAGATTCTTTGCTGATTTCATGCTGATTTAAGGTTCCGATGACAAACAACCAAAGCTTGGATATTGATTTTGTTATTCTACCAAGCTCACAGAGATTAAAGTTTCCCAGTGACACAAGATAAAAGACGTTTTTAAAAAGATGTGGAGAATTAGAAACAGCTTTGCTTCTCCTCCTGCAGGAATGTTGATGATTAAGGGATTTACCACAGATGCTTAATCTGCCTATAGCTTACCTTAGTGGCAACAGTGTTCCCCCAAAGAAAACACCTTAACAATGTTGACTTCATTTTTTTTTTCACAGCTGATTAATTCTTGGCACATTTGTCATTATTTGCTTATTTTGTTGAGCATGCAGAGTATCAGGAATCGATGTGTAGACACTGTTTACCAATGTTCCCAGAAACTTGATTTGACAAACAGGCAGGCAGGCAGTCAAGACAGCTTTAGGAACGCTCCCAACTGGCACCAGAAAAATCTATGGGCCAAATGAGTTTAATAAGTTATCCCAGGGGCCCATCTGACATTCTGGCTCTGTGCTCCAGAGCACTCCAGCCATGTCTCCCCTTCAACATGTCAGCTTTTAGACATGCGAGCTCATAAATGTTTTCCAGGGAGAGAAAAGGGATATTTCACATTAGCAGTTGTGTTCAGAATCTTTCACCAGGGAAATGTACGCCTTTTTAAATCAATAGTTCTCTACGGGTTGCTTGTCGATTATTCAGCTCATTAATGAGGCTTGAGAATAAATCGGTAATGCTGAACAGCAGAGAAATAATTATAAAAATATCAGACTTTTTTACATTTCAAGTTGACTTTTGGAATGTATTAATGTTTTATGAATTTCCAGTATTAGTATTCAGTGACTTTTTTTTTTTTTTTTTTTTTTTTTTTTTATCCGGCAACCTGATTCCAGTACTGGAGCACCACCTCAAAGGCCCACTCAGTAAACACTCAGACAGGATGTTTTGGAAGAGCTTTTGACAGATAAACTTGTGCTTGTCTGGAAGTAAATTTGCATGCTTTTCTCAACACATGCTTGCAATTTAGTTTTTACAGCTCACTTGGAGCCGAGCAATTCAATATTTGTGCGTTTCAAGCCTCGTAATCTCAAGAATGTGTTAGTCAGCTGGCTCTAATTAAGATGAGTTTTTTGTGTGTGTGTGTGTGTGTAAGTGTGAAATAACTTACACACTTACACTAAGGTATGCCAGCCCGCACACACACACACACGATTCTCAACGGCTCTATGTTTTGACCTTTCCGCTCTTGTTGGTCTTTTTCCCAGGCGGTTGCACTGTACCAGGAACTACATCCACATGCACCTCTTTGTGTCTTACATGTTAAGAGCTATCAGTATTTTTGTGAAAGATGTTGTGCTCTACTCTGGATCGGCCTTGGAAAACATGGAGAGAGTCACAGTGGAAGACCTCAAGTCCATCACTGAGGCTCCGCCATCCAACAAAACACAGTTCGTAAGTACACAAACACAGCGCACTCTGTTCTTGAAGAAATAAAATGAAAAGGAAAAACACTCACTGAACTTTGACTCAAAGAGGTTTAACGCTATAACAAGCAACAAGACACATATAGAATGTTTTTCTTATGTAACATTATGGTAGGATTATTGTATATAGCGAATCAAATATTTTCTGTCATAACAGGAATAATCATTGTCTGATTGCATTACATGCACAGATAATTTGATTATTTTGGTGTTAAAAGTTTTGCTTCCAAAGAGGAAGTGGTATTTTTGGGAAGTCTCTCCTGCTTTTCCAGAGCTGGAGCAAATGCCAAGCTTTTACTAGGTCAGTGCTTGGCGCTCCCTTTCAGAGTGAAGTTTAAAAAAATGGGGAAAGACGGGCTACTTTTCATGCATGCTTTAAAATGCAAACAAACAATTTGCGCAATTTATGTAGTGGACACTGATCCTGTGGCTCTCCAAATTGAGTTACTGGATTAAAACGGTATCGTTAAAGTAGGTAACATATGGCACAATGAAGGAACATTATAGGATGTTTGTGCTTTTACATATTGAATACTGTCGGGTGTGTAGCAAATACGACCCAGAGACTAATTAATATAGAACATGTTTCTACACTTTTTCGCTTTACCTGATGTATCAATAAAAACAAAGCCTCTGTAAATTGTTGTGAAAATATTAACAGTTTTTGGTGCTAAAATTTGATTTTGAATTACTTTTCATTAGCAAAACTCATTTAATTTCTGACTTTGACTAGTCATAAATTTGATCAATCTACGCATCTGTCTTTTATGTCTTGGTTTATTATAGCTGGTCCACAGCACAGAGTTTGCAACAAAGCTTCATATATATATATATATATATATATATAGTACAAATTAGTATAAATATTGCAAATTAATATAGCTTAAACTCAGGTAAGCATGTCAGTACAATAATAGTCCTTACACAGGCTATGTTCAAACTCGGCAAGAAAATGCTTCTTACATCCAACACAATCTGTCCCTCATTTGTAGCAATGCTATTTTTAATTCGACACAGATCACGTCCCAGCCAAGGATCGTACCGTCAACCTCTCTCATCATGACGGACTGTATTCTATTCATGTATTTCAAAATACTTTTTTTCAGCATGTGTCTTGTCTGTTGTCCGTGTATAGATCGGCTGCAAGGTGGTCGTGACCTTGTTTTTGTACTTTCTGGCGACCAATTACTACTGGATCCTGGTGGAGGGTCTGTACCTTCACAGCCTCATCTTCATGACCTTCTTCTCAGACAGAAAGTATCTGTGGGGATTTACTCTGATTGGATGGGGTGAGTTCTGCTTCATGTACATTCTACCTTGAAAGTGATTACATTATGATTAGAGGAATCATCATGAAAATTAAACCATTAAATATGTAAGGTGCTTCATTTTAATTAGTCATTTTCTGGAGAGAAAAAAAAGAGAAAACATGGGAGCAGCTGTCCCTGATATTGTATTAATAAGGTGAGGACAATGGAAAATGACTCGTGTGTAAAAACACTGCATGAATATGGGCTTTACAGTTCCTGCATTGTACACACTGTGCGTATAAGTTACGTAAGCACAGCGCATACAATGTGGATGCTGTGCGACCCAGGCTCTACTCGTATGAGGAAATTATGGAGTCATTTACAGTATTTTGTATAATCGAGATGGCTATAACTTGAATATGTTTTTTTCTCTTTTTCAGGAGTGCCAGCTATGGTTGTGACAGTTTGGGCAACAATGAGAGCCACATTTGCAGACACAGAGTAAGTGATCTGCATGAATAATACAAACATTACTCTTGGTCAACTTAAATAGAGATAAAGTACATTTTTATACATTCAAAGTAGATTACATATATTATCAGATGTGGTATCTGTAGCAAGTCTCCTTCAACAAATATACATTTCACACATCACATGCTGTATGTACAGCCTGAAAATGTCAGCGTTCTTCACAATTGCTGATTACCAAACATGCCAGGAACTTTGTTCAAAGAGCTGTAGCAAAGCTTGTAGGCAGGTATGAAAGCTAAGAATAATTCAAGTGGATTCACCTTCAAAGAAAACTGCCTCTAACCAACTTGGCAGATCTTCAACCCCTTCTTACTGGCTCTATCTGTCGTCTCCACATTGGTCCTGCACCACAGTCGAACGACGAAGACCCTAGAGCTGAGAGCTTAGAACTATAAGCTGCTATCCAGAACCGGTCCAGTGGAGAGCAGCTCCATTCTACGTTATTTTCGGGCAGGAAAACAAACCAAGCATGATAGTAACCACACAGCTCCCCAGCTTTGGCTAAAAATCGAATTAATCAACAGTAGATGCCACATTGCTTAATACTGACCCACTATCAACACTTATTGCCCAAAGATCTGTGAATTCACAGCTGAAGGCCAAAAAAATATGACAAAAAGCACATGAGATGGGAGTCCTTGTTGCTACAGCCCTAGTTGATCACATGTAAGAGTTTAGGCAGAGTGTGTTTTAATACCATCTTAAAAAAGGCACAGAAAATAGATTTGTAAATCCTATCATTTCGTGCATCGATGGCATTGATCATTCGAGACACCGGTGTTGAACTGAGGGATCCTGGAGCATCGCATCTAAAGACTCGATCCTTACTTAACTCGTGCTTATCCCCATTATGTTGTTGTTTATCTACTGCAGGTGTTGGGACTTAAGTGCAGGCAATTTGAAATGGATATATCAAGTGCCTATCCTAGCGGCTATAGTGGTAAGTACATGCTGAGTGTGAAATAACAGTGCTTCACTGCACCTGTGGCATTACAGTAGCTGGATAACGCCTTATTATGTTTGCACATGCACTTACTGATATCATTATGTTTCTATTTGTGTCTTCAGGTGAATTTTATGCTATTTCTGAACATCATCAGAGTCTTGGCAACTAAACTGCGAGAAACAAATGCTGGAAGGTGTGACACAAGACAGCAGTACAGGTACTGAGTCAAACGCATTGTGCAAATGTCTCATTTTTGTTTCTGAACCTCACAAGACAAGCAGCTCCTCTTCAGTCGTGAAACATGGCCATCACAATTTCAGAGGTTACGTCTTCAGATTATTTGTTTTGTCTCAACACATGACTGGAAGCTGTTGTTTTAGCTCTGTGGTGTGCAGACGGTTTGGCAAACTGCTGTGTACTTTTTTGTTGAGATGATGAAATGTCTCTGTCACAGAAAACTGTTGAAGTCCACGTTGGTGCTGATGCCGCTCTTTGGGGTCCACTACATCATATTCCACGCCATGCCGTATACAGAGGTGTCTGGAGTTCCCTGGCTGATACAGATGCACTATGAGATGCTGTTCAACTCCTTCCAGGTAAATCTGCTGTGGCAGAAAAGCCAGAAATGCGAATTTAGCTGAGGGTTCATATTAATGTAGCCTTTTCAAATTGAACAAATCTGATGATCTGATCAGGATTTTACAAGTCCGCAGGGTTAACGTGTCTTAATCACAGAAAATACTTGCTAAAGAGGAATAAAGGGATAGCTTATGATTTAATATACCATACTAAATATTAAATTATACGGCTAAAATGTTATGTAAAGTGCACATTAAAGACAAATCTTTCTCCACTCTTTTTTCAGGGATTCTTAGTTGCAATTATATACTGCTTTTGCAATGGGGAGGTAAGATCTCAGTTTTGCATTTTACACCAAAACTCCTGCATGATATTTAAGCTCTTACATGGCTAAATAAGTTCTTTTCATTCCCAGGTGCAAGCTGAGATCAAAAAGTCCTGGAGCAGGAGGACTCTGGCCCTGGATTTCAAAAGAAAAGCTCGGAGCGGCAGCAACACTTACAGCTATGGACCAATGGTATCGCACACCAGTGTCACCAACGTCACTGCCAGAGGACCACTGGCCCTCCACCTCACCACGAGGCTGGGACCGGTGCCTGTGAACGGGCACAGGAACCTCCCCGGTTACGTAAAGAACGGCTCCGTCTCTGAGAACTCGATGCCCTCGTCAGGACAGGAGCTTCACATTCCTGATGAGGAGCATCCGGCTCACACACGGCCCTGCGAGAACGAGAAACCCTCGCCTGTGGTAGAGGAGGAGAGGGAGACAGTCATGTGACCTCCAGGCCGCCGTGTATAGGGATGAAAACTGATCATGAAACGGCCTCGGGACGGTCTGAAGGGGATGGCTGCATGCATCAACACTGCCAGTTTATTCTCCTGTGAATCAAGCCGGAACATTACCAACAGATGAGACTCGAGGCAAAAAGGGTGTATCACTTTCGTGAGCTGGGCCATCTTTACCTGAAGGATGATGACCCTCGCTATAGCAAAAACACTCTCGACTCGTTCAGCAACCACCTGCCACAGTGAATGTGTAAAAGGATGAAAACAGACTGCCGTTTCTTATTTCTTTTCCACTGCCGTAACTGTTGTTATCTTGTTTTCTGTTGACTTCTTTTTGGAAAATGTCTTGTGCCCAGCGTTTGTGCATAAATCAAACTGGGGGTTAGTTACAGTAGTTGCCAGGAACAGCCTTAATCACCATGTAAAGCCAGGTGGATTTTGAGTGCTCTTAGTGACACATGGGTGGGCAGTTGTATCAGCAAGTTATGGGTTAAAGTCAGCGTGGGTAAGTGTAGGTTTAGCTTAAACATTTTTTTTTGAGGCATCTGTTCATGCTTTCTGGCATGGTATCTCATTTGTTCTGCATTGACTTAAATCCACTTCAGTGTAAAAGGAAAGGTACTCAGGTAATTGAAGTCCTCTGTTGTTGCACACCTGTTTTTATACTTTCAAAGTAGTTTTAGCGCGGTCAACATTTCGTGTTGCTATGTATTAAGGCTGTGCTCTTTTTTTTTTTTTTCAAAATGTTGTACAGTTTCTGGTGTTTTGAAAAACCCAGTATTCATCTCTCTTAATTACAACAGATTTCGATGAGTTCAAACGAATGTTTCATATTCAAATTTTCTGTAGAGCATGATGTCAAAGCTGGAATATGTCTTTGAAGACTGTGTCTCTTTGGGTTCAGCGTTAGTTGAGGTAATAAGAACTGAATGGAAATATGACAAAGATGGTAACATACATTCCCACGCAGTTTTCAAAGGACGAGACCGCATTTAAAAACACACAAGGTGCAAGAAACAGTCATGTATTCCAGAGGAATGTCAATGAAATGAGCATTCCTCAAATATCTCATATTCAGCTGGAATTGAAAGAGTGACGTTTGTTTATGACAGAAACCCCAGAAATGAATAAGTCATTTTTACAGATGGTTCAGTGTTATGCTGCTTTTTTACATGTGTATACAAGTCACAATGTTTACAAAGATCAGAAATACATTCTAATTGTGAGCTAATAGTGTTCATGTGTATGAATATGTTACAAAACTGTTTCAATGTTGTTGTTGTTGTTTGTTTACGGAATGTTTGCAATATTTGGTTATGTATATAGTCCGAAACAAAACAGGTAAATATATTTACAGATGAGGGAGGGCATTCAAACTGGCATTTAATGAATCATTCCACAATATATTTTAAACTCTGTATCTTCTGATTTACCTTTTGGTTCTGACCAATATGTCTGATGTCTCACATTAATATCAACATGTGACCAAAACCAATATTTGCTCTTATACGAAGAATTCCTTTACGTTACACCATTTGATGGTAAGCTTTCTTTATCCCTGCTGCTGTTGTGTTCTTTTGGTGACTTCACACTGATGGAATCAAGCTCCCAATTTATTTTCATAGCCGCTATTTATTGCATCTCTCACAACTCTGTTTAATTCAATCTGGCTTTCCACTAATTGCCCCTTGGGAAGTAAACATTATGTTCCTTTTGTTTGAGAAAGATGCGGCTGGTGTCAGAGCATGAAAATATTCCATTAAAAAAAAAAAACATAAAAAATTATATCTGAGCACTTTAATACCCTATAATACAGTATTTCTTTCTGATTGTATCATGTAAAATGATTGTGTTTTGGAATTAAGTGTACAATAAGGCCAATAATCATAGAGCTAATGTTGTAATTCGATGTTTTTAAATACCTCTCATGGAAGTATAAAATGTGTGTGGTTGTCTTTTATTTATCTCGAGATGTACTCCGTGGAGTCAGCATTGGTGTTCATGCTTCATAGTATGTGAGCAGTGTTTGCTAAGATTCTCATCACTCTATAGTGATTTAGGTACGTTGTAGATATATACGTGTAAACTTGGAATAAATGTTTTCTGGTCTCTAATGTTCATCAGTGAATTGTGAATAAATCTGTAATTTTACTGTACTCTGATACTCTTGCAACTTTCATTCTTTCATTCTTAAGTAGACAAATTACACATTTTGATATATACATGCATTTTGTTTATTTCAAATATAATATACAAATTTAATTTTAGAAAAAAATGTGCAAAATGCTGGAAGTGAAAAATATGAATGAATCTTTTTCGATGTTTGTCCGTGGAAGGCAGAGTTCACTTTTGAGCTTTCTTGGCTCCCCCTTTAGCCCCTGCTTTGCCTCCTTTATCTCCTTTGTTTCCTTTGTCCCCTTTGTCCCCTTTGTCACCCTTCTCTCCAGATGTCTTCCCTTTCCCTTCACCAGCTCCTTTTTCACCCTTCTTTGTTGGCGTGTCCTTTTCATCTCCTTTTCCTTGTTTGGCACCCTTGCCCTCTTTCTTGCCCTCCTTGGTCTTCTTCTCTCCTTTATCAGCACCCACTTTACCAGAGACTGTTGTCACCTCTTCTTTCGCTTCTACCTTTGCAGCTGCAGGGAAACAAGAAATAAAAAATGTTTTAAAATAAAAGGCAGAGGTTTCATGGCAGCAACAGGTATCATCAAGGTCCTCATGTGCTAATTGGAAGAGAGAATTTAATCCAGAAGAATGTCGGGCTAAGTAGGTTGCATGTAATGATAAAAGCACATCTGCCTCTATCCGTACTAATAAGCATGGTCTATTGATTTTTTTAATGGGATTGTTTGATGTGTTTTCTGGGTGAGAATTGGAGATCAAAAGGATGTACCCAGCTAACAAAGTTAGTGAGGATGACTATCTGGAAGGGACAAGATTGAGATTGGAAAGGTACATTTAAGAAAAACTAAATTAATATTAACAATAGACTCCTCTGGACTTAAAGAAGTAGTTTGACATTAAGTTGTTTTCTTATTGAGAGTAAGATGAGAAGAGAGGTATTACTTTCATGTCAGTATGGTATATATGAAGCTACACCTCTAGCAGATGAGAGCTTAGCCTAAATAGTTTAAATGGGAAAACAGCAACTCTTGCTCTGTCCAAAAGTAACAAAATCAGCCTAACAATGCGTTAAAGGCTTATTCACATGTGTTACATCCTATTTGATTATTTGGTAGAAAAGTGTCAAGATGACGAGTCGCAGTATCAAGGGAATTATAGCGCAGCACATAACTTCCATAACTTCCTGTAAAACTGCAATTGGTGTTTTTTACACTTTGTTTCTTTGTTCTTTTTAAATGAACGAGCCACAACACGTTAGTGAGCTTTTCAGATGCTGGTTGGTAGATTGTGTTACCTTTGGTCAGAGCAAGGCTATAGCTTCCAGTCCTGTTTCCAGTCTTTGTGCTAAGCTAAGCAAACTGGCTGCTGTCTGTAGTTACACATTTAACAGACAGACATATGAGAATAGCATTGATTTTTTTTTTTTTTTACATCAAATCTTTAGAAAGAAAGCAATCAAGCGTATTCCCAAAATATCAAACTCTTGCCTAAAATCCTCCGATGATCCCAAAACCTGTCATATAATGCTTATAGAACGATATCTGTGACCTAAAGATAATGTTGAAACAGGTTGCCTGCATGTGGAGATACATGTTCAAAAGCTGTTAAACTTTAGATGATAAGCAGAACCTTCAGCTTCTTCTTTTTATGTATGTCTCATTTCGTTTGTTTTTTTGTTTGTCTTTGATTTTTTTTTAGTTTTTTTTATGAAAAATAAGTTGTCTTTGAGAGTAAAAACAAAGGTTTCCAATGTTACCTTAGGTTTCATGAAAAGTAAAACCTCAAAGCATTTTCAATGCATTTTTGCAGCATTTAAACCCACAGAATTTCCTTCAAAACCATTTTTCCACATAAAAGATGCACCCTCAAAATAAATCAGACTCTAAAATAGCCGACCCCCTAATGTAACTGCCTCTGGCAAGAGTTAACACATTACTTCTGATATAGATCAACAAGAAACATTGGTGTGATTTACACTTCCGCAACTACTGTTAAAACTTTAAAAATAAAATGCAGGACAGACTCAATTGGGGCCAATGGAGCTTTGTTGTTTCTTTTCCAGCAGCAAAGCAAACATTTTCCCGATGCTCTCTATTACAGAGACACTGGAAACACAAACCAAATGACAAACAAACATCACATGTCAAAAGTTGCCGAAGGGGGTCAGAGTGAACCTGAAATAATTTCGGTTTTACTGTGTCGGGTGAATCCAGCGGACTTAAAATACTCAACCAACCATCAGAATGTTTGTGAATAGATTTCTTTGTGTCTTGTGCTTCAGTACTCATGCATTTCTCTTCTACTCATCAGCTCCTTTATGTTGCGTCTTTTTCTTCTTGTTTATTTCTTTATCCGCTAAATGAAGAGCTGGGATTAAATTAAATTAAAAACCCAGACATGTTCCACATTGTTCCAATTTTGGAGTGCTGGTGGACTCCTGTTGTTTCCACACTGTGCATGGTAGTGGAGAAATGAAAGGTTAACATTGCCCTCTACAAAAGGATTCCGCCTTCACTCCTCCACGAAATGTCAAAAGTTCAGCTCAGATGCAATTGGTGGAATTTTTGATAAAATTTGAGGGCACATGGCATTGTGACATTTCCAAAGAAATCACAGTTCAACTTGTAAATGTAACCTCAGTAGTGGTGTTTCTGCCAGCAACAAACTGTCCTACTGATATCTCAAATATTGGCAGCTTTATTCAAGTAAGTTTTCCCTCCTGAGGAACAAAGCGGGACTTGTAACCCGACCAAATTCCTTTTCGCAAGTCCGTCACTCATCAGTCGGCGTGCTATGAACCTCAAATGACCTTTTCCTCGCTGCCCATTCAGAGCTGTAGTGGACAGATGTGTGAGAAATTGAGTTGTTAACAACAACAACAACTGCAGCTGTTTGGTGACACTGACAACTTCGTTAGTAGCAGTAATGTGGAAGCAGCAGGTCTTGATGGCACATTAGGAGGGATTGATCCACAGCTCTGTCTTTTCAGATTTTGTATTTAATTAAATGTTTGTCTGAGTGCTTGTGAGGGAGATGAAGGCAGAGAGATGAAAGGTACAGACTAAGCCTGTGTTTCGTCCTTCTCTTTCTTTGCAGTGTGTAATTTGCAGCAGATATTGGCTTTGAAACTGAAAAGCTTTCCCCTTTTTGTTTTTCGTCCCAGATGCTTTCAACAGCTCGATAATAATGAGGCGGAGAAACTCTCATTGGGGAATTGGAGAGATTCTGCAAAAACAGATTTTACAAGATGCTGCAATGTGAAAAATGTATTCCTGCACACATCACAAAGATACAAGTTGCCATTGATCTTCATTTGTAACATGTAATAATTACCTGCTAAGTTATATTTTGTGATGTTCCAACTGATTGCTTTGAATCTCCAAGTGTTTTCTTGCTTTGCATAGTCAAGGCCTCATGAAAAAAAAATTATAATAATTGCAACGGTTTCTATTAGGAATATAATTTTATGTTCAAAATTTGTTACGACATTCATTGACACCGCTTCTCTGTATGTGGTCATTTGGTTTGTCAGATATTATTGCATATTTCATTTCAGTGTCACCTAAGCATGACATATTCACTGGGGAAAGCAGAAATTTGCATATTGGCTTTACATTTATATTGCATCTTTACACTATTCATAGTTCATATGAGAGCAACTGATAAATATGTTAATCCTCACTCTTTATTATGGCTGCAGTCAGTGTACCTCCCCTTGAGCCCCTCTCCCAGAGCAGTTGATTAGTCATATGTTAATGAAAGAGGGTTAACATATTAGATCAACTCTCTAGACTAAACTGGAGATTGAAGGGATATGGATGCTCTGACGGTAGCTCTAACAAGACCGATGTCAGTTCCTATTTCTCACATTTCACAGCTAGATACACACATAAGGCAACACACCAAATTCCTGAGGGATAGCAAGAGAGAGAGAGAGAGAGCAAGAGAGAGAGACCAGAACATTTAATTACAGATGAGATCAGTGTTCTTGACATCAATAATCATATTCAATCTACACTAACGGGAGATAGTGTGAATGATTTGCTTCATTCAAAGCTAACCTTAGGAGAGCAAACAGGTAGAAACAGACTATAACAGATCACAAACAGCATGCGTTACAATTTTCCCTGCTTGCAGTATTAGCATTTTTTTCTGTCTCATTATTTCTCATAATTGTTATCAAAGTCATATGCTCTTGACGTTTCCATGCAAATATGCACGAAGCAAATAATTATATCATATTTAAAACATCTTAAGAAAGCAGAGCATCTCAAAAATTACAAAAGTGTAAACTACAAAAGGCCAGCTGCACAAAAGTAATTAAATATGCAAAAGCATCACAATCTGTTTTTGAAGCCACATTAACAGTCTTATTTTCTACTGTACATAGTTACTGCTGCACTACTGCGCCACAAAACAATCCTTGGACAGTTCAAATTGTACTAATAAACTTCACAAGTGATGTGGTGAGCAGTTAATGGGAGATGCTTTTCTATTTGCTGGAATTTCTCTTGCGATAGAAATAAGGAAGACCAGATAGATATGGCTGTTGCATGAAGAGGAGCTTAAGGGTGGCCACCAGTGTGTACACTGTGTATTCTAAAGTCACTTAGCCAGGTGGAGAGTCTCAAAGAAGATGAGAGCAGAAATCAGCCTGTCTCTGGCAAGGTGAGGGAGCTGGGTTGCTCCTCGCTGACCCTAACTGCTGAGGGCTGGCTGTTAGCACTTTGAGTTTGGACCTGCTCAGAGACTGTCTCTACTGCAGAAGCACTTGGGGTGGCTGGAAGAAAAATAGTGAGGAAGAGAAGAGAAGAGAAGAGGAAATTTACTACGACAGAGCATAAAACAGAGCAGAAGAATTGAACCAAGTGCAGCAAGTTTTGTGAGGTGAAAAGAGGAGACAGTAAAAAATTAAGACGTTAAATTGCCCTAGGAAAGACGTTATGTAAAAGACAGCTGTCCTCCTAACCAGGGCTGACTGACCACCTGGTGGACCGGGCACTTTCCCATTGGGCCGACACAACTGTCTTTTTTTTTTTTGTCTGACTTGCCCATAAAACAGGTAGATCGGCCTATTGTTTGCGACACTGGGCTAGAGATGATGATAGAGAAACGTGCCTATCTGTCTGCATTAGTCCCGGCCCCACATGCGCTATGAATATGTGTTCTCACTCAGCTGAGAGGTTGAGTCCTGCCGAGTAGAGAGTGAAGACTCGTCTTCACTGTTTGACAAATATAAAATATCTCTAGCGTGTGCTTCTGTGTAAAGCAATCACAGATTGGTCTCAGGAGGTATATTATATTCTATGTGGTTTCCCATTTTCAAACATTTATCTCACATTTTCTCATTTGGAGCTTCCAGCATTTGAAGTTGCTCTGTGCGGCGGGTATTTAAAATAAAAAAACAGTATAACAAGATAAACAAGCAAACATTTCCAAGAAAGAGCTTGTGTATCTCAACTTCTATAATATTATATCTCAACGTAACATTACTAAATGAATATAGTCATATTAATAAATACATTAGAGAGAGGTACTTACATCCTGGGATCTCAGTCAGCTCGTTCAGAGGTGGCACTGTCTCTAATGTGTTGGCGTATTTTTTGGCGGCCAGTCTTTGCGCGTGCCGTGCCTCTATTTCCTTTTTGGTTCTCGGGATTCGACATTTGAATATACAACATAGGGTGATGACTGAAGAAGAGGGAAGGGGGGGGGGGCACAGTTGGCTTATTTGAATAGCACATCATGGTATAGGCCTACACAATTAGGATGGGTTTAATTATCACTTACCCAAATTATATATACAATATACCTTACGTTTTCACTTATCAGTCAAGTTGTAGACATTCATGGTTCCAAGATAATGAGGTCACATTTTTAATTTGTCCGATTTGAGACCAGCTAATTCTTCTCATCAAGCCTGCTAACAGGATAGTGAACATGCTAAACATCAGCATGCTAGCATGGTCAGCATCCAAGCATGTTAGCATGCTGATGTTAGCATTTATCTGAAGGCACCGTTGTGCCTCAGTACAGATGCACGGAGCCGCTAGCATGGCTGCAGACTTGTTAAAATGCATGTATTGGTGTCGAACCAGAAAACTCAACAGATGTAGAGTATGTGTCAAAAACTGAATGAGAAAATATGTGTTTTCCTTATTTGGGTAAACTGGCCCTTTAAGAAAGGCTAAGGCCAGAGATCCTCATAAATTCGTAACAAAGAGAAAGTGTGTCATATACACAATTTCTACTGAGTAAGAGTTTCTCTTCCCTCGTTTTACAGTTGCTGTTTGTATGACTCACTTCTGGAAACACAGAAGTGATCTCCGCCTTTCCTTAATGTTAGCGTCATTATTGCTAATCACACTGTGCTGGATAATCACACCGTGGACGCATAACTGCATGCATCGACATCTTTGGCCTGCAGTTAATTCTCAGGATTTAAAGTCTATTTGAAAAACGGTTTGTGAAGGTGTCAACAAAGCGATTTCATACTGACCAATTGCTAAAACAAACAACGAAAAGATGGCGATGACCTGCCATAACCGCAGCCCCCAGAAAACAACAGACTCTGAGGTGATGGGGTCCGGCTTCTTTGGGGGATCTGTGGGCAAAAGCTGTGGGGGAAAAAAAGAGAGAATGTTGATTGTTTCAGTACCTGCACATCACAAACAGACCATCCTTCACAAACAGGTTTTACACCAAAGAGCAAATCTCAAGGAGGAAATAAGATCTTGGGAGTAACTCAAGCTTCACATCTTCTGCATCATCCTCAGGCAATGTAATGTGTCAGAATTTGTGTAAGATTTTTTTCAGTCACTTCTCTATCTTTCTGACTTTAAGAAAAAATGAATTGATGATAAACTTTGTTTGAATCTAATATACTTATCAGAGTCATATAAAACAATTTATGTATAAAAGAAGCATTTGAAGTCATCTAAAGGGCAATAATTCTAGTTGTGTCACAGAGCCAATACGTTCTTCTTCTTTTAGTTCAATTCCATGAAACTTTATCATCTTACTTTATTGGTATGGTTAACGTATTAATTAAATTTACTATCTATCTAGTTATTTAGTTTAGTTATTTAGTTTTTTCCAAGGCATTGGCAAAATGCTAATAAAAAACAAAAGCTCCAGGTGAAAAGGTCTTTAGCATTTCTTCCACCAAGAAAACAACAACATCAACATAATCTGTGTTTTTTTTTGTGGCTCTCTCCACCTGAATCTCCCCTTACACGACACAAACAAGTGCATAGGCCTATGAATAGGTCTCCGCGCAGACGGAGTAGACTGATTCCCAAACTTTTCCTGCATTTTCCATCCATCAGATAGAGGGATTTCTCCCCTTCTACTCTATATTGATTGCGTGATTGGATAATACATGGTGGTTTTGGAAACTCTATACTTTCGTCCATAAACCAACAAGTGATGGATCAGAAAATGGACCCTTATTACATTTACTGCCTTTATTGATAACACCATTACGTGGTGTAATTGAACAATTTTTCAAGAATAAGCTGATGTAAACACAGATGTAAGTGAATCATTTTTGCTTTGGAAGAAATTTCAGAAGGATGGAAGATTATTTAGATGCATGCCATTCAGGACAACATTTCTTTGAGTTCATGCGAAAGTCAAAAAGAATCAGCAGATGTTACGATAAGCTTTGAATTTGCGCCTTTTCCAACATCTCTGTTGTGCCATGTGAGACTCTCAGCACCAGGGCAAACAGACCTGCTGTTCAGCTGTTTGTTAGACCCAATATGCTTCAGCGAGCCAACGTGCGACATGTGACAGTACAAGCTGTCTTCAGGGCCTCTATACTGTTTGTCTGCTGAGGAGGACACGAGAGGGGCTGAGAACGTGAACAAAGAAGCTGCGAGGAAAAATAGTCTGAGTAAGTTTACACTCGTGTTTGTGCAACTCCCACGGAAGAATTAGCAATGATGGGGATATTTAGCACTTCTCTTAAAGAATTCTTTTGCTTCAAGAGCGATTATATAATGCTAAGTCCTTTCCTCTGGGGCAATTTCATGGGGCAGGATTAGTGGCTATAAGCCTCAAGTTTTCTTTTGGTGGAACAAACAACACAAAATCAGAAGATTACTGACCTCAAGTTACCTCATGTTAATCGTCAAGTACCCACATTTATGACATATTTTTGTTTGTTGGTTGGTTGGTTTGATATTTAACGGCATGGTTGAATATTCTTCCTCAAGTAAGTTTCTGTTTTCCTAAGAAGATCCTTAAGGGACTAATCAAACAAGATTAGTACAATGCGATAGAGGATTAACATCTAAAAATAGGAAAATTACCATTGGGATGCAGGTTTAGTTATGCCACATGTATTAGCAACGGACCAATTACAATTACATTGACTCACCAAAGGATAACATATACAAAGGATATAGGCAATTGTACACCATGTCTAGTATTTAAATTATATGTCTTAAATTTGTTTCTATTTCTTTCTATAATATACAACCACACCTACTGATTCTTTTTAATATAATAAAGGAATGTTTTGTCCTGTCAATGCTGTTCTACACAGTGTACTGTGAAGAAAGTAAGTTGCCTATTTTTCAGGAGCAGAATTATTTTAATAGAAAAGATATCAGCTGTTTTTTTGTAGTCTGATATAGTAGTCGTATTCTCTGCAATGTGACCCCCTTCTCTTCAGCCCAAGAGCACAAAAACAACTTGGCGTACCAGGACGTCATCATCCTCCTGTTTGCTTCGGTATAAACACATGTGGCTCAGCTATTCATGTAAGACATAATGTATCAGGTCTATACATAATGTTCTCTCACTCCTCATTAAGTAACGCAAGAAACAACTCTGGCGACCAAACAACAAGTATGAATCACATAAAGCTACCTTTTAACCGGCAGAACACCTGCACCCTGTCACAGAGAAACCCTCAGGATATTCATGAGGGGAACCTGTGGAGGACATGGTGGTGTGTCGGGCTCTTACCTCGGGATCCGGGACCTGGGAGGACACGGAGGACAAGCACTGAGACAGCAGCAACGCTCCCCAGCCCTGCAGCAGGAGCTGAGGTGGACATACAGGCTGATCCCCAACCATTCTCTCCCACTCTTTCTCCCTGCAGCCACCCTGCCCCCTATCTCCCTCTTCCTCTGCCTCTTCCTCTCTCCTTCTTCCTCTCTGTCTGCCTGCCTGCCCGCACTGCCGCCGTATAGAGGACAGGACCACAATGGCCCTGGGTGATTAATGGTGACTATGGTGCTGTCGGCTTCCTCTCATATTCAGTTGTCTGCTGCTCTGCTCTACTATCTCTTGCCTTTCTCCCACAACACTGTAGAACCCACCAAAGACACACCGGCAGTCACCACTGCAGGCAGCCCCAAAACTGCTCCACTACAGTGCAGGGAGCCAACCCTGCAGTTAGGCTGCATTAATTAATCAATAGACCTGGTGTGGTTTACAGCCAGCTCATCCTGCTGGGGACAGGCAGTTAACACAGTGTGGGGGGATGGGCAGTACAGTTAGCCGTGAGGTTGGCCTGCGCAGGACTGTGAAGCAAATGGCTGTGAGCGTCATCAAGTTTATTGCCTCAGAATCTGGAGTGTGAAAATGCTCACAGCCTCATTACTTCGGTGTGGCAGAATGTGAAGAGCCAACGGTGCTGTGGAATCAGTGTTTCTAATATGCACCCACCTGAGGAAAGAGCAAAAACGTTAAGAGTCAAACTGCTTTGGTTGCAGTCATTTGAATGTAGCTCAGAAATCAAATTTTTGTTTGTTGTTTTTTGGTGTGCAAGGTATACGAGGCTGCTCTCACTTCAGCTCGGGCAGGTAACATTGGAAAAACCGACAAGAGCAAGTCAGATTTAAAAAAAATGATTAAACCAAAAAACCAAGCCCAGCGTTATTTTGCAATGAAAGTAGCTAGCAGCACTAGCTCCAGAGGTTGCTAAATCTAGCGAAAAAGTTGACAAAACTGACAGCCCTTCCCTTCAGGGCTCCCTACAAAGCCACTCCCCTAAAATCATCATTATGAAGGTAACAACAAACACAGCCATTGTTAGTACTCCAAGCTGTCCAGCTAGCAGTTTGTGGAAGATTCTTGTGACAAGCAATGAGTGCATGGGCCGAGTGTGCTCAGGCACAAATACCTTGTCAAAACATTTGATTTACTCATTTCCAGGGATGTAAAGATAATTTCAACAAACATAACAAAAATATTTCTGAATTACAATACCCACTCTTGCTTTAACCGTTGATGTTTCCAGAGATGAGAACAGTATTCTTTCAATCTAAGAAGCCATAGTGCTTCATTACTAGCTCATCTTTAACCTTAAAGAAAAAGCATTGGACTATGCTTGATTTTGAAAATAAAGGTGAAATGTCTCTCAGTCTGCTGAACACTATTGCTCTATCTTCAAGAGACAGGAGGTCCAGTTCGAAGCGGGGTCTAACTAGTTATGTTCGTGGTTTAAACTAGACTATGTCTATGCTGTGTTTTAACTATGTTTTGTTAAATCTGAATCTGTAAACCACCCAGTAGAGCAGCCTCCAGATAAAACAGTGCAAAATATGTATTGGCCAGGTATAAGTACACATCTAAAACAAGGACATCAAAGCGGTACAAGTAGTAGTAAACATAAACATTTAGCTAGATTTAGAAGATGGTGGTGGATCTGTACAGTATATGCATACTTGTATGTTTCTTAAGGCAGAGCTGAAGTCAATAAATATGGATTTGGGCATCATTATGCAACCTCATCCCATCTCGTGAAAGCGTCCAATTTCCACACCTACTGCTATAATAGCCAAACATTATACTGGCTTTATGAGGTTACATAAAGGTTTCAGGTAAATTTACTGCAAACACACAGGCTGAAGCACCCTGCAGAGTGATGCTTTTCCACATGGATTCAAGCATAATGGTCACGTCTCAGGGCAGGTATAAAAGCAGCATATAAAAGACATCTCCGTTAAAAGACACTATGAATGGCCCAGTAATCACCATAGAAACTGGGGCACAATGACTTACATGTATTGATCACGAAGCACACACTTCCAAAAGAGTAGCATACTTGAATCTGACTTCCCTGATGATGATTTATATTGGGTTTTTGGTGGTAATGAGAACCCTTGTCCTCAGCCCTATAGTCGTAAATACTGCAGCTCCCAGTGATTGGCTTTTGTCAGAAGTGTTGGACGCAATCATGACACCAGTACTACATCAATCAAGTCCAAATCATGGAATACAAAAGAGCCTGCTGTGTTGTTCACCCATATGCTCGCACAAAGCTTCGGGTTTTGCTTTATTGTTGTTAAATCTCCTTGCGAAAAGTTCTGCTCCTATCTACACCCTGGCCTTTTCATTTTTTGTATACAATGCAAAACAGAGGGGTGTCAACAATTGGTAATAATCTTTTGTCCTGACATGTATTTGCAATCAGAGGAATTTACCCCCCATTGATAATTATTATTACATGTCTGTTTTTAATTATTCAAATGTTTGAGTGAGTGCATCACTTTTTTTAATCCTAATTCATCATCATGATTCCTACTGTGTGGGAAAATGTATAGTGGCTAAGAGAGTTAAGCATACTGACAATTAAGAAGAAAAAAAACAAGAGATAAAACACAAGAAACAATGAAGAAGATTACTCCGTTGAACAAAATATTCAGAAAAAGCACTGCAAACATATACAAAAAATTAAATTCAAAATCACAAATTTACCTCAGAGGGCTTTATACAAGCTGTACACATGCGACATCCTCTGTCACATCGGCACAGGAACATCCCTTTAACGGGGAGAAAAAAAGGAAGAAACCTTAGGGAGACCAACAGAGGAGGGATCCCTCTCCCATGATGGACAGAAGTGCAATACATGTCATGTGTACAGAATAACATAACAGAGTTACAACACATTCAATGCATATCACAGAAAGTATTCATATGAGAGTAGCAAGCAGAATAATAATGGAAAAATTACGACTACTACTAATAACAGCAGAAGTGGATATAGTAGAATAACAATGATAACAAAAGCAGTGATGGTATCAGCAACAGCAAGCAATGCGACGACTAATAATAATGATAGTACCAGTGGGTGTCAGGCAGGACCACAGCAGGAGGCAAGACCATGGTCCATATATAACCACGATCCATGGAAACCTGCGAGGTGAAAAAGCACAAAGACTCCAGGGAAGAAGCAAAGTTAATTATGTGCATTAATAGGACATGGATTCATACAGAAGGAGAGAGAGAAGAGGAGAGAGGGGCTCAGTGTATCCAACGAAGTCCCCCGGCAGTCTAGGCCTATAGCAGCTTATCTAGGGGCTGGTCCAAGGCAAACCTGAGCCAGCGCTAAGTACAAGCATTATCAAAAAGGAACGTTTTAAGCCTACTCTTAAATGTGGTGAGTGTGTCTGCCCCCCCGACTGAAACGGGAAGCTGGTTCCACAGAAGAGGAGCTTGATAACTGAAGGCTCTGGCTCCCATCCTACTTTTTAAGACTCTAGGAACGACAAGTAACCCTGAATTTAGGGAGCGCTGCTCTCTAGTAGGGTAATATGGTACTATAAGCTCCTTAAGATATGATGGTGCCTGACCAATTAAGGCTTTGTAGGTGATATAGTGACTAATTCCAGCAACTAGCCACTTGGCTGTGTGCGGGAGAAGATCGTGTTCTTTACTCGCTTCAATAAAGAGATTCCAGGCTCTTTCACTTTTGTGTGAGGTTCCGTTTAATTAGAATTTACGTTTACAGCTGATACGATATGATGTAACTTATCTTCCTGGTCTCCCTCTGGTGTGTCTTGCGTGCGGTGAAAACCGTGTGATCTCCCAGTCACCCATGCATCATTAGCTGTCTGTTGCACCTGTGCCCCATATACCAATCACCTGCCACACTAATCCACACTGCCACCCGTGGTCAACCCGAGGTAGGCTCCCAATACAAACAGATACAATACACAGACATAAGTAATGGCTCCTACAGGTGAGGAGAAGGATTTTAAATTCTATTCTTGATTTTACAGGGAGCCAGTGCAGAGAAGCTAATACAGCAGTAATATGATCTCTTTTCTTAGTTTTTGTTAGTACATGTGCTGCAGCATTCTGAATCAACTGGAGAGATTTAAGAGACCTATTAGAGCAGCCTGATGATAAGGAACCCATGCAGCTAAAATAAATATGCTGCAGAGACTACACTATTTATTTTTTTATAAATTCTATGAGAAAGATGGATGCATGCTTGAATCTAAACTAAACAGAATTATCTCTCTTGGTATTCTTCTTCATGTCTTGGTCAAGAATGGGTTAAGATGGACATCTTCAGGCATCAAACACGGAAGGTGAAATCACTTGTCTGATTGTACCACTGGATGCCTTTTGACTCGCTGTATTACTAACATTGAGTGTTTGATATTTTGGCCCTATGGCCGTCTGATGAGCTAGATTCTGTTTGATAGAAAAAACACACTTGGAGCCATTAATGTCTGGTATCAGTGGGTAGAAGACAATTAAGGTGGTAGAGCTTAGGGCCTGGACATGCGCGGTGTATAAAGCAGAATTGCAGACTATCTTTAGTGTCAGTAATCAGTTATATAAGAAAAATAGGCAGAAACAGCTAACAGCGTGTTCAGGATGCAGCAGCTGACAGATATAAACAAACCATTATGTACATTTCTAAATTGAGTGGGACTGTGTTATAATAATGTAACTCATTTAGGATCGTCAGCTTCAAAACATCTTGAAATACATGAGCATCTTGTTATCTCCGACTAGGCTCAGCCTGAGGAAATGATGTGCTCCTGTGTGCGTGTACGTGCATCTGTCCATCTGTCTGTCCATGCTCAATCTCGCACACTATTGGACCCAGAGGACCCATTATTGTTGGTGCTCACTTATGACCGTATCCTTAAGGACCTCTCGTGATTAAGAGAAGAGCTTGAAGACGTGCGCTTGAAAAACACATTTGATACCACACATTTGTGGTTTGTATTCATTTAACCAAACATTACAGCAGATGGATCATCTGCGCTCTACGGAGTGAATTTTCTGGTTGGGTCTGATAATATATGGTTGCATATAACCTTAATTAGCGCTCTATGTGAAGACAGTACGTGAGCCTGTGCAGACAAAATGTGCACCCATTAAGTATGAATCATCGCATGAGGTTGTTGTGTCAAGACAAAGCTTCACGCATTGATATTCATAAAGTATGAGCAGACATTTCTCTGTCAGCCTCCTGGGGCTTCGAGGTGGCTCAGGTGGGATGTCATTCCCTTTCGTCTCTCCCAATTATTTCTGTCTCTCTGTACTGTGAACTATCAAATTAAGGTAGAACAAAACAAAAAACAAAAAAACAGTAGCCAGTGATCAGGGGTGCTCATGCACACATCTCCAGGAGGAAGGAGATTCCACTGGCAGTGATCATATTTGTGAGCACGATGTGAAAGCCATTGTGTCAGCACGTGTTAAGGGACTTGATAAAACAACTGTGTTCTTCCAGGGACTTGCACTCACGGTTGCTGAGACATAAAGGATATCCAACACCGGTGATCACGGACACACATGGCAGAACAGATGATTCAAACACCCAGCTCTGGAATAGTTTTACTACAAATAAATACTGTTCGACAAAATGTACACAATGTATGTTGAATTAAAACAAAGCTGCCTTTTATTTATTTATTTTTGCCACAAATGTCATCAGATGTGAGACGGAGGGTTTCCTGAAGAAACTGATTATTTTCGATTTTCCGGAAAGCAATTAAATTGTAGAGTCAAGAGTCACAGCTCGGTTACTACAGCGATGCTCTTTGAACTGTTGTCTTACAAAGTCTCTCAGTAGAAAAAATACAGCTAGAATATTCATGTAACGTCACCACCATAATATATTCTTGTACTTTTTGTCTAATATCTGATTCAAATAGACAATACAGTCTCTACAAGAACAATGCTACTGTATCATTATTGTATTTATTTACTCTTTCGTTCATCACTATCAGAAGCAGGGAGATTGCGTTCTATTGGTTTATTCACGAGGTCATCATAATGGCATTTGAAGTGTACTGTATTAAATGGATATAGCACAGCATTGCTTTGTACAACAGAGTAAGCTCACACTAAAACCCTATTGCAGAACAATACCCACATCATTGCGGGACAATAACGGGTCACTGACTGTCAGGAAAACACATCAGAAGTGGTTGATATGCAGTGCATGACTAACCACACTGCATTCTAGTGATGCCATCTTGCTGAAATGAACAAAAAGACTAAAGCACGCAATGTTGACATGATACCTGACTGCACCAGGCAGAGTTTGTCCACTGGCAAACTGCAAACAAAGCCAAAAACAATTCTACTCATGCTGCATACTTTGATCAACATTTCAATTGTGTTTAAAAAAGAAAAAAGGCTTTGCAGCTGTCTCAGTAAAGATAACAGCTCATTACTTTATTTCTACTTACTGTAAATGAGCACATTAGGACACCGCTGCTTATTTTCTTTCCATTACATGTAAATGAGAGGCACTAGGAGATGAATGGACTCATAGAGGCACAAACCGTTTTCTGGCCTGAGTTAAGTTCACAGATCCCTCGTATACTGATGGCTAACTTTAACCTCTGCGTTCACGGCTCCACTATTTACTTTAGTTTCTGGATGCAGTCAATGGTCTGCAGGAAGCATTGGTCCAGAACGAGGGAATACCTCTGAGGAGAAGGATGGAGAAAGGAGTCATTCAAACCTGGAATGACAAATAGGTGAGGCTGTTTACGTATGCTGTGTTTACATAAGTTTGTGTTTGGTTTGGTGGGTTATTGGGCATTTTGGAATAAATCTACACCTTTCTGCGTAATACAGCTACATAAAACCAGGTTAAAATTGTTTGGTGGAACGTAATTTATTTGAAAGTGATGACACTCTTTAATGACTGAAGTCAACAACGGCAACATTGGTTTTTCACTGAAATTACACAGTAAAATGAATATTGAACATGCAGCAACGAGCTCTATTTAAAAGCGAATGGCTTGTAATATTGGCCTTCCTAACACCTACCACAAAAATAGCTTCAGATTACACATTTGGGAAAATATTGTACATGCCCACAAAAACTGACAAAACATTTTTATGTGAGGTTTTGTTAAGGCAGATTTTTCTAAAAACAACGAAACAACATAACACTAAATTAAACATTTTCCCTGGAGTTGGATGCAGTTGGGGACCATGACATGCGTTTGCTCCATCAACACCCTTTCTGACACACATTTCTACATTCGATATACATATTTGGCAATCGTGCGGTAGCCATATGATATCTCATCTGTTCCTCCAATGACACATCTCACTCGACTACATTAAAGGGTACCTCACCTTCTATCCAGGAGGTATTCAACACAGGCTGTTTTTTGTTACTCTGAGCATAAAGGCTTTCTTCATCACTTCCAAACTCTGATATTTTTGTCTTGTGGCACTTTCTCGCTCAGTCCAATGGGGACCTGCCAATCTCCCACAGGGTACTGGAAGAAATAGTGCGGTATTTGAAGCAGCACACTAACTCAGCCATGCTTTTAAATTAAGCGTGATGTGGAGGGAGAGGAGGGTGAGAAGGGTGAGGAGGGGGAGGGGAGGGGGGCGGTGGTTATGCTAAAAATCCTTTTGGCTACTTTGGGAGAAAATAACTCGGATGTTAGTATGAATGCAGAGACTCCCACCAGGCTGCGCATATCCAGACAACCTTTGGACTAGGGAGCTAAGATCGCATACTGTACATACGTGTGACATGCTCTGGGGAGTGTGTGGAGGACTACAGTGGGAGTTTGTGCAGCTTGAGCCCGCATTAATTTTCAACCACTATTCCCACACAGCTGGTTTCAAGTCAGAAATGATTAGCAGTAATATTTGAAAGGATGGTTACAGTTGTTGGGAACTTAACTTTGGTGTTTACTATTTGGCTTGGCCTGTCACACATTTATGTAGCCATCTGGAGCCAAATAAAATTCAAAACTCTAAGAAAAGGTCATAGCCATGAATGTAAACAACATATTCCAAACATTTGGTCAAGATGTGGTTCCCCTTTCATTGATTGAATTTGATGTTTCATTAGCTTACAAAAATACTTTAAAAACAGACATTGTTGCTCTCTTAACCTGTAATGCACATAAGGTTACCAGCAGAGGAAAATACATACATAGATTTAACCAAATGTGACATTGACATTTATAAAACAGCAAGCAGACAAAATCAGCATCAAACATTTCTGTCATCGGTAGGAACACTTGTCTGATGCCATCAGGGTTAAGCTGAAAGCTCTGTACTCAAGCAGTTACTGAAGTTGCCGAAACGCACCAAGGAACCAACACAAACTGTCTTTGAGGGTTCAAATGGGGAAAAAGAGCGAGCTCCGTATGATGTCTGTGTGGCAGACGAGGGGAGCCTGTTTCCTGCAGGCTGCTGTTTGTCACATCTGACAGGAGAAGGTAATAGGGCTCAGCTGGACATGAGGTTGAGCAGGAACCAACCAGTTCCCCTGGTTAGTGTCTAGTCTGCGCTGGCACAGAGCCTGCAGGAAAACATGCTTGGCTTGTCTCATCACGTCACTGCAGAGCTGCAGGTCATGGTGGAGAGTGCTCTTCAGCGATGCCCTCAGCACCTCTGTATTCCTCCAGCTAAGTGGCCAGCCGGGACACAACATACACGAGCAACGTAAACATATCTGTGCAGCCTAAACACGAGGGTTGGAATGAGCAATAGACCATTGCCAAGCATCAGTATTTCTGTCGTCTGGTCAAAATCAAAATTCTTGCTTGTTTTCAGGTAAGACAGCTACAGCGTCGTCAGAGCTAGAAATGCAATGCTTACAAACGATTTGTTGCAGTCTTTTCAGTTTGTCTATTTAGTTCTCGTTGCTCAGCAACTCCTGCCATCCCAAGGGACGATGCTCAGATCCAGAGTCGTGATAGCCTGAAGCGAGACAGAGATGTGTCAAATTGAGTCAGAAAATTGCAAAAAAAAAAAGAGAAATTGGAAAACCTCCTTGGCATTGTCACATCACACTATCACTGACCTTGGATTAGCAGTTCTCCCGTTGCTACTTGCAAAAGTCCTTACTTTGGATCCAATGTTGTCTTCTCCAGCTGCTGCTCCATCACTACCCTGCAGCATCCCTCCTGATACTTCTGTTCTGCCTCCCAGAACCTCTGGTTCATCTCTTTCCCTCTGGAAAATTCAAGCTCCGACAGTTAGAATTTAGTTGAAAAATTATACTATTCCTCTTGATGTTGACTGTAAAGATGGACTTCAGGTGGACATAGACAAATAAAAGTATAAATTCACTTACTTACTTACTTACTGAATAATAAAATTGATAAAGTAACTCACAATATATAACTTTTGCAATTATTAATTAATGACATAATCAAATTTTACATGTTGTAATGTTATGTGATTGTAGTGAAGAAAAGGGTAGAAAGTTACTTTGATTTAATTTCTGCTACAAGCGACGCTTAGTTTAGAATTTGAATTCTAATACTAACTCTTGGTTTCCGTGCACCATGATTTTAACTGAATACATAAATAAAAAGAACCCAGAACTGGTGGAAACAACCCTGCAATGCTCAGAAAGAAATAACAAATGTGCGTGGCCTTGAAATGACTTTTTACAATGGACTACAAATGAATAGAATATTTTAGTGGTGCAGCATTGTAGCATCCCCGAACACCTTATTAGAAAGGCAATTTTGATTACTGTGACACTCATAAAACATCAAAACAACCGAATAGCATCTCAAGGGTTCAGTGCTCCTTGTGTGAATCATTAAACAGACCTGCAAACAACCTCTCAGCTCACGGACGCTGACACTTCTGAAACTGTGATGCATTCTGTTATGCTTTTGTTGTGGCAGTCTTTCACGAGCAGCACAACATCAGTCTTTTAAATAGAGAGCCTAGCTTTGGATCATTTACACGATAAATAGTCCTACATAATCATCTTTGATAAAGACAAGAGCCAACAACAACATGATAATGGTGTGCTGTTATCTAAGTAATGTCTGAGTCCATCCTCAGCGAGAAAGGTAGCAGAATGAAAAAGGCCCTACTTTTGAGGACTGTTCATGGCGAGTGCTGCTGGTACGAAGCACTAACATGTTTTGATATTTTGTCAGAATCAATATAGCAATTATTTTAAAGTTACAATGAAGTGATGAACTGAATTTCAACAAACACGTACAACAAAAAACTGTACCACTGACAGTTTAAAATTGAGAGTAAAAAATTGGAGGAAAAAAACGATGTTTTCAGCGTATATTACTTTGTCTGCAGGACTTGAACCATCTCAAGGAGCCGGTCGTTCTGCCCGCAGAGGAGTTTGTATTCATTACACTGGGTCATCAGAGAGCTCACATCAGCTGAACAGTGTGGACATCTTGAAGAACTTGGGTCCCTTGGAACAAAATGATGCAACATTTGAACATATTTTTTTGCGGTGCATGAATTGATGTGTAACAGTGCAGGAAATGTACAAATAGAGCAGCTTGATGTGCACTTACTTGAATTCTATACTGCTCCCCACAGCAGGCAGCACCAGTTTATGACCAAATTTAGAAATTGAACTGAAAAAAGTTGACAGACAGTCAAGCTAACAGAAATCCATCTCGGGCAAAAACTGTGAGGCATCAACCAAATTCAATAACTTGTTCACTAAAAGTCCCGCAATAGCCAGAGTGGATTTTTAACTGTAATTTTGCCGGACAAGATGCCTTAGAACCCAGTTTTACTGTAACAGCTGGCAGAGGAGATAAGTTTCTGATGTAAAGACAAGATGTGTCACTGACTGCATGAAGTAATATCATATATATTCATACACGATTACAATCATCCCACGTACCCTGAAGATGTTATCCTCTTGTTAATGTCTCCCTCTTCAGGGGTGAATCCTGAACTGCAAATTGTTGTCTTGAGGCTGGACTGTCTCTCCGCTCCCTCTTCCTGCAACAGCAGCACACACACCTTTAATGGCTTAGCCAAGCATTGAATATGAATGACAAAAGCATAAGCAGAAAAGTTTGAATGGAAAAATAACTTTTCAATTAATCTGACTGTTGTGAAGTCGAATACAACATTATTATTGCTGGGGTCATTTCGATGATTTTGCCTTTTTTTTGTGTTGTTTTTTTTACCTTGACAGAGAGCTGCTGGATCTCCTGCTCTAGCTCTTTGATCCTGGCCTCTCTTTCAGCAACTGTCTGCTTAAGCTCCTGGATGAGAGCGCTGTGCGCTGGAGGCTCACTGCTCAGCGGCTGTCTCGGGCTCCTCTGGGTCTCCTTGCTCCGCACGTTCTGCTGCTGGCCGAGCCGTCTCAGCACCTCCTGCATCTGAGTCTGCTGCTTCTGCAAGAGGTACAAGAGGGGATTAGTGCTGAGAGCAATGTAATAGAGTCTGTGGCTCCTGGCTTCTGTAAAATTGATATGCACATACACACAATTTCCGTGTGTACACATAATAGAAGATACACCAAGTGTATAACATGTTTTCTCTTTACCAGCAGAGCATCCACAAGCTCATCATCATGTTTACCCTTCTCCAGGAGGGTGGAGATCTGGCCCTTCAGAGATTTCATCTCGGTAGACAGAGATTTGTTCCTGGCTTTAGACGCGTCTAGCTTTTTCTTCACGTCCTCGTGGTCCTTCAGGAGGGCCTCATAGTCCACTGAGATCCTCTGTTCAGATGTGGAGCAAAAAGCAGGGCCTCGTCAGCAAATTCATTTCGTTCGATTAATTTACAACCATTGCATACACACCTCGTATGCCTCCCTCTTCTCCTTCTCGATGGTGCGGATGTAGCTGAGGTTCTTGTCTTGTGTAGGGGTTTTCTGAAGGACCCCCATGCCCAGAAACTCTTCCTCTTCACTCAGGACACTAGGTTGTCTTCGCTGAGTCGACAGGTTCAGCTGCTGCTCCAGATCCCGCACCTGTTGCACAATACCCAGTTTTGTTCATGGGGAATTCAGGTGTTTGTTTTATATGTCTGCTATCTTATATTAGTTACTTTGCTAAGCACTTTATTAACTAACTGTAAGGAACTTGATAACCTTATCTGGGAAGCACTTCATGACTTAAATTATAATTTTTGGCTTACCCTCGTCTGAAGAGCCAATATCTGCTGAGAGCGACCTCTGAAACTCCCAGGGCAGCTTAGTAATTGGTGAAAGCTGACCTCCTCTCCAATCTCACTGATCAAAACCTACAACGACAGTAGCAGTTCATATTTTGGTACACAGACGTCTGTGATGATTCTTGAGGGAGGGAAAAAAAAAAAGCTTCTACCTTCTGAGCTACTTTCAACTCCTGTTTGACAGATTGAACCTGGTTGCGGTACTCAGTCACTTTCAGCTGGGCGGCAGCTAATTTCTCCTGCAGAGATTTCATTGCTGGATGTTCCAGCTTCTGTAAACAGATGGATGAGTTTCATTAAAGCTAGTAAGAAATGCAAATACAATTTTGGTGAGTGTGAATTTTCACGTCATAAATTACCTCACAGTCTTCAGACGACCTCTTATTCTGTGACTTTGTATCAAACGTTTGCCCCGGTGAAGAGTGCACCAAAGCCACCTGCAGCTATAGAACAAGACATCTTTGTTCAAGCAAATGTTTATAGTTTGAAACAAATCGTGAACCTCTGTGTGCTGAAATGATGAACATCCATCCACAAATCAAATTAAATGACACACCTAACGCAAAACTTTATTACCTCTTTCTCAAGCTCTTTGACTCTGTTGCTGTTTTGCTTGGATTTGATCTTTTCTCGCTCAGTTTCAGCAGTTAGCTCTCTATTCTTCTTGGACAGCTCAACAATCTTGGTGGCTGCGATATCACCCGCCAAGCCCGATGTGCCTATGAATGGATGAGTGGATAAGTCACGAGGAAGCTGTGATGTAGCTATAACGTCACTGTGGGTGCAGAGACGTGGTATTTATACCTGCTAAAACCAGTCGCTCTTCTTCTCTTTTCTTCTTCAGGTGTTTTATTTCAAAATCCTTCTCACTCAGAAGTTTGAAGAGCCGACCATTTTCGTCCTTCAACTCCCTCAGCTGGTCCAGCAAAATCAGATTTTGATTCTCATCCTGGAGAAGTCTATAGGGAGGTGTTGCATTGATTAATAAAGTCAAAAACATGATTATTAACAACATATTTCCAGAGAATGTTTGCTTATTTATATCTTTTGTTTTATTAATAAAGCATAAAAACAATTTAAGCTGAAAAATATATATTTTAGCCTTTGTAAAACTCACCTGTGTTGGAGATTGTCTGCCTGAATACCTTGATGAGAAAGATCCAAATCATCCTGGCCAACACTGACATCAAGCCGATCCGGTTCTTTCTTCTTCTTTCTATCCAGTTTTCTTTTCTCCTGCTGTTTTTGTAACGCTTGGAACTGAAGCCGCAAGTCATTCAGTTCATCATCATGCTCCATAATCTACGGTTTGTAGCATAAGGAATACAGATCAACTCGTAAAAATTAAAAAAATGACAGAGGAAGTCAATGTTGTGACTAAATATTGTGTGGGATTTTATTTATAGTAAGATAGTGGATACATGGAGATTCCCCTGGATTTGAAGGCTGCTTTGCAGTTGAGGAATGAAAATAACCCTTAAAGTAGCTTAACCAGCGTGTCAATCTTAGCTCCACCATTACTAACATGTATTCTATTATATAGCTTATACGTTAAGGTTGTATTTAGAGGAAATAGCTCACCAAGTCATTCATCCAAGTACCGCCGTCGTAAACAAATTAGAGGCTGTTTTTGCACCGCATGGTTTTGTAACGTAGAAGAAGAGACTGTGCGGCAGCTTCCTCACTGATTGCGACGCTACTGTATCCATAGAAACGGCACTCCCAAGACTTGATATAAGATCTCGCGAGAGTAAGAGTGTAGCCGTTTGGGCTCAGACGGTCACGACCAGTGCACTGGTCTGTAACGAGAGTTCAATGTTTTTCAACACGTGTCGAAATGTGTCATTTAAATTGAAGAACTGCGAGTGTGCTGTCCGTCAGTGGTTTACTAATTATGTGTATAATTGTCTTAGAAAATTAAATGAGGCGGTAAATGAAAATTAAGTAGCAAACAATTAACAGCAACAGGTGAAATGCATCTTGGCTGATTGGAGAACCATGCCTTGCTAAACATGTGTTTTCCAGCATTTAATATGTGATGGTAACTGTTACATTCGGTTTTGCAGTTTTGAATATATTTAAACATAAGCACAGATAAAAAGTTAAAATATTATATTTATTTTTTCTTCCCAGAAACCTCTGCAAATGAGAAACTTGTTTAAAATAAATCACCTCGAGGCAAACAAGTGTTAGAAAACTTGCCAAAATCCATCAGTAAAGTGCGAGTATAATAATATTTATCATATGGGAACATAAAAACTAGTCAAACCTTTACTATTGGGCAGTGTCCTACATGACAACAAGAGGGCGACAAAGCAGCTTTTATCAAACGCTTTTATAGACTAACTTTAGGGGGGTTCTTACTCAGTCTCCATCATGAATGCCAAATACACATTACAGTACATTCCTTTTGTTGAATCAATTTGAAAGATACTGTCTGTAGGTGGATTCAATCCATGTTTAAAACGCCCATCAATGTTATGTCCTTAGTTATAGTCTACACTAAAAACAGAAAAGTAAAAATACTAGTTCTCATTTTGATGGTGAATCCCTTGGAAGCTTTTCAAGTACACCATTAATCCCACAAACCTGGTTTGGAGGGAAGGAACAACCTGAAGGATGCTGATTTGGTCTGATTGTGTTGTATGAGTGATTAAAGCTGATTGGCTTAGTCATGCTTACACACACACACACACCCTCAGGTGTTACAAACACACTCATGTAATCTGATGAATAGCAGTTAGCGCAATAGCACTCACAGAATGTCCAAAGTCACAATGACACAGCATTGTGGAGCATCCTGCCACCTGCAGTTGATGTGATGGTACTTCACATATTCGGTTTTGCTGTTTGAATATATTTATCATAAGCACAGATCAAAAGTTAAATACAATTTCTCTCGTTTTTTTCCAGAAACTTCTGCAAAGGAGAAATCTGTTGAAAGAAAATCACCTCGAGGCAAACAAGTTAGAAAACTTGCCATAATCCATCAGTAAAGTGTGGGTACAATAGTATTTATCATATGGGAACATAAAAACTAGTCAAACATTTACTATTGGGCAGTGTCCTACATGACAACAAGAGGGCGACAAAGCAGCTTTTATCAAACGGCCAAAGGTAAATAGACTAACTTTAGGGGGGTTCTTACTCAGTCTCCATCATGAATGCCAAATACACATTACAGTACATTCCTTTTGTTGAATCAATTTGAAAGATACTGTCTGTAGGTGGATCCAATCCATGTTTAAAATGCCCATCAATGTTATGTCCTTAGTTATAGTCAACTCTAAAAACAGAAAAGTAAAAATACTAGTTCTCATTTTGATGGTGAATCCCTTGGAAGCTTTTCACGTACATCATTTGTATTGTACGAGTGATTAAAGCTGATTGGCTTAGTCATGCTTACACCCACACACACCCTCCTCAGGTGTTACAAACACACTCGTGTAACCTGATAAATAGCAGTTCCCACAATAGCACTCACAGAATGTCCAAAGTCACAATGACACAGCATTGTGAAGCATCCTGCCACCTGCAGTTGATGCGATGCATTTCCTGTTGAAACTGGTTCTTTGCTTGAGACAATACACAAAGTATTCAAAAGCATAAAACACTAAAATACCAGTAGTTTTATTTGAAGTTATAGAGCAGAGATATAAATGTGTCATGGTTTTATTGTTTGGAATTTGTTAAGACACCAACTGGTGCACAACAAAGAGAGAACTAAACTGTTTCGGATTTCCAGGAGTTTTTGTTTGACCAAACATACAAGAACAACTCTACACTTAAAGGACAGTAAGCTAGGAACACCTAACTTAAACTAATAGTCCTAAACACTGTTGTAATCAAAATGATGATTTTATGTTTTCCTGTTTTATAGAAGGTTAAAGTTACTGTGGAGGCTGTAGATTGGGGTGCCATTGAATTGCACCTTGTTCTACTCGGAGGTGTTTTCTAACACAGACTAACTGTTGACTATTGCCAGACTGTATTAGTTTCATCCACGTGTACATAATCAACATGTCACATGTGTTGTTAAATAAGCCACAACAGTCAAAACATATTTGCAGTGCAATTTGAGGTTTCAAAACATACACGACAGAATTTCACAATTACAACACTGGCTATTTCCAGAAGAAAAAAACAAATCAATACAAAGAAACTTTCAAAATGAACATGTTCTGTATTTGTACACATTAAAAACTGTACTTTGTGAATAACTTAACAAGGCATCTTATTTGTAAGCATATCACAAGGTTGAGGTCCTATATTATAGGTTACTGCACAGTCTACAGGTGTACCTGGGTTTATGTCTCATGTAAACTAGTATTGGACCCCTGTATATCACAACATGATACAAATATGAGAGGAAAAGACTTGGCTATTGAATGAAATCACAAATGTATTTTCTACAAATAAAATACATTTATGACTTTGTTTCAAGACTTGTGTTCCTTTTTCAATTTCCATGTGATAACTTTATATATTTGTTTTGTTTATAATCTGATATTGCGGTAAATTACAAATCATTTGTGCCCTTGTTGTTTAAATGATGTGATAGAATAGGCCTTGTCTAGACCACATGTTGACAAAGCCTTCCATAACATACCCATAATGCACTGGGATGCCCTTTAAAAACAAGTGGGCTTCGGTACAAGCCTATTCCATTTGGCAAAAAATCCTTACATCAGTATATAAAATATTATATCGCTGGTGTGACACAACAAAATAAATACAAGGAAAAAAAGATCAGCCTACCTGCAGTTAGTGGATATTAAATCTAGACTTAGTCGGACTGTTTTCAAATGATCTGCTACATTGTCTAGTTGTTATTTCACTCACACACCGTTCAAATAGGAACCAACAAAACCATCAGTATTATCACCTGTCCACACAGGTATCAAACACAGTGTAATCAGTACTAAAAGATGACATCAGTACACCTCATAGTGCAGAAGTGATAGCTTGACCTTCTGGTATAGTACCTGGAGGATAAGTGTAATCAATATGTTATACCTATTTACAGTAGCAGGGAGCTGCTGAGGGGTGTTTGCATTAACAAATTCTAAAAATACATTTTCTACACACCTTAATCTGAGGCAATATTAAGGGACATAACATGTCAGAGTCCATGTTCACTTTTGTTCCGCTGCTTTCTGTTCTTCTCTGGGCTTTACGATATAATCTCTGTACATTGAATACAGGACCCCTAAAAACAAAGAAACAAAGGGATATGTTACACAAAGACCTTTCTATTTACTTATCATTGACAAGAAAAAATGGTCAAAATGTAACCAGCCAAACTCCAGACCTATACTTTTTAATGATGGAGATTTTAGCCCAAACCACTTTTAATAACCAGGTATTCCACTAAAAAAAAAAAAAAAAACGACAAATCAAAGCAGCTTTGCACAAACTGAAACGATGCAACTAATCTAACAAGAAACATGGAAATCAAAGCTACGTACCAACAGTGATGGCTCCAACCACGAAGCCCTGAGCACCGACACGCATGTGGATCAGGTGCACTGACATTTTTGTGTCTCCCCGGCTTTTCATTTTCATCAGTCTGTACCCCACGATGGCAAAGAATCCAGCCATTCCTGCAGGGAGCGAAAAGACAGGTTACTTTACATGGATGACTCACTAAAAACAAAGTCATGATGTAACCATTAGGGCTCAAGATGTACTCACCCAATGGTACAAATGGATTCTCCTTTACTTTTCGCATCAACTTGGAATCATTCTCCTCATAGGAAGACATCTTGACTAAATAGGAAAAGAAAAGGTAAAGTTAGGCAAGGTACTGGTGTCACGTCGATGCTATTCCCAAAACACAGCATGCTGACTTATTCATTATAGGGGAGTCCCCCCATTGTTAGAGCCATGTGAAATCCTGGCTGTACATTTAAATAACAGTAGTGAATAAGTTTTAGACTACAAAATACAATACTGTTTAAATTGGTGCTCCAAGCTGTTTTTATTACGGTAATTAGATTTAAATACCACATGAGCTGCTCAGAGGTTACCCATGAAGGGCAGCGGGGAGACGCGTCATTTTTTTAGGCCTAAACAACTCTACGTATCCTGCACATTGTAAGGCAAATAAACCATTGAGCAAAGAGCAAGTTACTAACGGTACTGTTTGTGTAATCTTGATCAAATTAGGTTAAATAACACAACAATATTATACAACAAGCGTGAGCGAGGACTACAGCTTTAACATCAGATAAAACCTCCACTACGCCACAGTAGGCTGGAATACGTCTTACTTGTTTTTAAGGAGTGTATCGCTGATTGAATCGCCAACAGAGAAGTTACCCAGAAAGGTTTTTTGGGAGTCTTTTCAGAGCCTCTTGTCTCACGGAAGTTAGGAGGAAGTAGGGAGCCGGCTTCGTTATGTAACTGCGCAGGTCTGAAGTCCGTGTTAGAGTTATCGCGAGTGCGTTGTGTTCAGGTCACCGGAGAAAATGGTAAGAATAGAGATATGCAGCCTTGTAAATGTTGTAAAATTGTAAATGTCCTCCTGGCTCCCCTGTTCAACTTCTCAGGAAGTTTTCTGTGTAAGGCTTTGTGTTATTAAAGTTTTTCTGGACATCACATAACATAATATTCGGTCTGGCAGTATAACATGATCGTTATTGTCATAAATCCGATGTGTCATGAACGCAGCATTGGTTGTAAAATCCCCCTCACAAAATCAAAGATAGTGAAACAAATGAGATATACGTCCCGGCCGGATAGGCGTGTAGTCTGTTTCTGAAACGAAGAAAGCTTCTCACACTGCCAAGCTCATCCTATTGCAATTTTAGGTATAAATATCAGATTTAATTTACTGTCAGAGACGCTAGAGAGACAAACATCTCTTTGATGGTGTTATGTTCAAAATTTCTCAAACAGAGGAGAAGAAGGCCACAGAGGAGAAGAGGCAGCTCAGTGATTGGCTGAACCCTTCGGACTTCAGTCGGCCACTTCCTTGACCAATTCCTCCCCCTTCTGGAAGGCTGTGCTCAGAAACTCTTCAGCAACATCCCCCTCTCTCTGACTTTATGGCGGTGTCATACATTCTCTGGTTTCTCTCACAATGCACAACAAATTCAGTAACTCTCCCTTTAGTTTAAACCTTCTACAAGTAAACATATTGTAACACATAATATCCATCGCTAGGATCGCTTTAAAACTTAAATTCCTCACTATGGTCAGTGTCAAACAACCTATTCTTAGAATACCACGTTGTTTACGCTTTTGTATGATCTCTCCTTATGCTATTCCCTGCCTTACTGGTATTTAAACGAAGGTGGGGATAGGTGGAAGTGAATCCTCTTGCTTCGTGTGTTGATCTCTGGGATGACGTGACAGTCATAGAGTGCTCGTCAATACGATTGTAGCTGCACGTATCAGCAACGTGCTGCATCCTGTTCAGTGCACTGGAACACAAAATGATCATATAGTCTACTTCTAATCATTTGTATTGATCGGCCACGTTTTTCAGTAAATTACCCACCTTTTAGATTACGTTCAAGTAAAATGTCTAGCATAGTCTTGTTAGTAACCAATGTTTTATTATTATTGAAATATAATAAAATGAAAGTAATGATAATGTTGTTACTTTTCTACAATCAAAGAAATATTATCCACTGACGGTATGAATTATGGTAGCATCAGTCTGTCTGTATGTATGTTTAAAAAAACAACTAAACATTATATGATTTAACCTTCAGCATTTGGAGTATCCTGCCGGTATGTTATTTAATGACGAAGCTTGTCTTTCTTAAATCCCACAACTTATTACAACTAATTCTTTCCGGAAATAGTTAAATAAACCACCAAATACTTTTATTGACATATTAGTATTTGCTTGACTATGTAATAATGCATAAATAGATGCTAGGCCTACTAATAATTACACATAGGCCTGAGGTGACAGGGCCAACTGAAACCAATGTGGCCATCTCAATTTTGTAAAGCTAAAGCAGCAGAATAAATCTTTTGCATCTTAATAATAGCAACTTGCCATGTATTTTGACAGCGTCTGCATTGTGTTCCCTCTTGAGAATGGAAATCAAAAACATCTTTGAAGTCCTAATGAGCCTGTGGCATTTCCTTTATTCAGTTATGGGCTATCAGGCCGCACTGATCATGTCCCATGCAGGCACTGATGTGCAGGAGGGATTTCTGCAAATCACCATCACTTATCTTCCAGACAACCTTTTAAGAACATAATTGAATGAACATATTTTATATGTATTTCCCTTTTGTTGTAGTGTCCTATCGCATACTGTATTTTTTCAGCTGATCCAACTTATGTTTCATATGTCTTTGCTGACTTGAAGAAGCATTTAAAAAAATGATCAACTAGACTTTTCACTTTGCCTCGTGCATGGATAAGGAAATGACACTGACATTCAAAAGAAGTGTTCCAAAGGAAATCACCTCACTCACGTTGTAAATAAAGAAAACATCTCCACCCAGTAACCAGTAGTGAGGTAAGAGTGCTCAGTTTTCAATTCACTGTAAGTGTCAAAGTAGACTGCAAAATAAAAGGGATATCAGAATGAATCACTCAATTATCTTTACACTTAACAGCAGGCTAAATTTACTTATTCACACATATTCATATTTGCATATGCGCGTGTCTGCTTCTTGGTTTATGCTCATATTGTAACTGACCTTTATTAGAAACTGGTGTATTTGGTGGCAGTCTCAGTGCTACAGCATATTCATCAGGTTATCTCTGCGAGGGGCCGGTATGCAGCCATGTTATGATGAATAAAAAAAGGTTTCTGAACACAGTCAGGGAGTTCTATCTCAGATAGTTGGACCTTTGCTCTCACCTCTAATCCTTTTGTGGCCCAAGGTGAGATTTTGCTCCACTTAACAACCCAATCATTTTTCCACCCTCACCAATTATATAAGTACATAATGTTGCTTTAAAACAGGATAACTTAAATTAATTTGAGTAAATATATAAATGGCTATAACATAACAGATGACTATGATCAGTTCTGTCCTGTGTCGGCACTTGATCCGTTCTGTCAAATGTGGTAGAACAAGAAATGTTTTATTCAATTTCTTCAAAGTAAGGATCATTTAGTTCAAACAGTGCAGCCGACACAAAGGTATACTTTTACTTTCAATATAACTTACACTCTCCTCCGCCCAACGTTATAGAGCAGTAATTTAATATACCTCTATGAATAAAAGTAGGTTGTAAGTTTTACACAGTCTGGACTCCAACACCCTGTTGTTGAACACCAATATTTTTTCCAATATACATTCCAGTAGGTGGTGCTACATGTCCACTACAATCTAGGAGCAACACATAACAGACTTTGGATATCAGACAACTCAGACTCATTTATTCAAAAAGTGGTGAATTTGCTACTGTAAGTATTGCTTTATTTCAGCAATGTGGAGATTAGCAGAATAAAGAAATTACGCAGTTATCTCGTTTATACTTTACATGTATTTCTATAACAAAGGTCCTCATGATGGTGGATAATCCGGTCCCCTTTATGTAAACCCTATATCGGACGGGGCAGGTGTTATCTTTAGTAGCTTCCGTTTTATAATCGCTCAGAAATTTGTGATCCGTCAATGGCGATTCACGAGAAGGCAAAGGTCAGATTTTATCAGTATCATAGATTTCATTCATATTGATAACTTAAAGCCCTGTAATTACAGTTTGGTAACGTTTCTGTTTGATCACATTTTATGACGCAAGAGTCTAAAGATCTCATGAGATGGCATTGAAATATATTGTACTTGACTGAATAAACACAATCTGTAAGTTGTATCTAGCTGATAAAAAAGGGATTGCCACATGTAATGAACGAAGTGAACTGTGGTCAGGGTTAGGGTTATACTTGCAATGAATTGGCTGTGATCCATTTACTATTACTAAATCCAAATATATGTATGAGAAATTAAACAATTTCTTAAAGGGCGAGTGTGTAGCATTTTGGGGATCTATTAGCAGAAATGAACATAATATTTATGAATATGTTGTCATTAGTGTATAATCACCTGAGACTAAGAATGGCTGTTTCCTTCAGCTTGGAATGAACCCTTCATATAGGGAGCGGGTCCTCCTCACGGAGTCCGCAATGTTGCACCACCATGTTTCTACAGTAGCCCAGAGCGGGCACAAACCAATGTGATGCTCACATTACCGCAGAGGGGGTATGCAGATGGTTGCAATCTGCAACCACACTGCTAGATGCCATCAAATCCTATACACTGTCCCCTTTTAATCAAAAATATGGATGTATGCCTTTCCAATTATTTGTGACATTATTTCATAATTTTAGAAACATGTGACAAAACAATAGATGCCGGCCCCTTCACAGATTGTTGGCAGTACCTCTGACATCTAATATATATATATATTTAAAGAACAAACAGACCTAAAATTAGTAGTTAATTTGACTTAACTTCACTCAGCCAAGTTTTTTTTATTTTTTATTTGTTTTGACTGAGCAGAACTATATTTGGAGATTTGTGACTAATAAACAAGCTGTATGGCTTTCTTTTTTGTTTCAACACCTTTTGCTAAAAATTAGGCAAACAAGATATATTATAAGGTGGCCTGTTTGTAAAATACCTATGATTTAGTTAATGCAGCGAAAGTGTTTACTCGTGTTTCTTATCTTCTCTTAAACCATTTCCCTCTTTTCCGCTGGGATGGAAAAGCATAAAGTAAGCAGTTCCTGGGAGGCTGAAACCGAGCCCACATGCAAAGGGCGGAGCAAAAGTCTGTTTAAATGCCGTACTGTATGTGAACCTTCACTTCAAAGCACTGTGTGGTGTCAGAGAAATCAGACATGGAGCTGCTGCTGCCGATCCTTCTTGGCTTTCTGGCCGCTCTGATTGGAGGACTGTACCTTCTCGGGGTGTTTCGACAGCGGCTACCGGGAGAACCCCCTTTGGATAAGGGGCTCATTCCTTGGCTGGGTCATGTCTTAGAGTTTCGCAGGAACACACTGAAGTTCTTAGAGAGGATGAAGCAAAAGCACGGCGATGTGTTCACAATACAGCTGGGAGGGTTTTACATTACGTTCCTTCAGGACCCGCTGTCGTTTGGATCAGTTGTTAAGGAGAGTCGAGAAAAACTGGACTTCAGCAAGTTTGCTAGGCATTTAGTGCGCAAAGTGTTTGGCTATGCAGCTGTTGAGGGCGACCACGCTATTCTCCACATGTCCAGCAACAAGCACCTCAAGGGGGATGGCCTGGAGGTGATGACACAAGCAATGATGAGCAATTTGCAGAACCTCATGTTACACAACATCGGCTCCGCTGCAGAACAAAGCACGTGGATTGAGGATGGACTGTTTATGTACAGCTACAATATTGTTTTTAGGGCTGGCTACTTATCTCTGTACGGCAATGAGCCACACAAGTCAGAAGCAAGTGAGGAGAAAGACAGAGTTGAATCAGAAGCCTTATTTTACGAGTTTCGTAAATATGATCAACTCTTTCCCAACCTGGCTTATGGGGTCCTGCTACCAAAGAAAAGGTTGGAAGCAGAGAGGCTAATGGGATTCTTCTGGAACAGTCTGTCAGTGCCGAAGATGAAGAAGAAAGACAACATCAGTCGCTGGATTTGGGACATCCAGCAGGCCAAAGAGGAGATGGGAATGGAGGAGTCGATGATCAACAAGTACATGTTTGTGCTTCTTTGGGCCTCTCAGGGCAACACAGGGCCTTCTTCATTCTGGCTGCTCCTCTTCCTCATGAAACACCCAGAGGCCATGAAAGCAGTGAAGGGAGAGGTTGATAAGCTTCTAAAGGAGTTCGGACAAGAAGTCCAACGCGGTGGCCCTTTAGTCAACCTGACCCGTGAAATGCTGATGAAAACGCCGATCCTGGACAGTGCTGTAGAAGAGACCCTCCGCCTCACTGCTGCACCTCTCCTCACCAGAGCAGTGCTTCAGGATATGACGCTCAAGATGGCTGACGGGCGTGAATACTTCATACGCAAGGGTGACAGAATGGCAGTCTTTCCTTACAGTGCAGTTCACATTGACCCAGAGATCCACCCTGATCCACAGTCGTTCAAATATGACCGCTTTCTCAATCCAGACGGGAGCAAGAAAACCGATTTTTACAAAGCAGGGAAGAAGGTGAAGTACTACAACATGCCCTGGGGTGCTGGGGTCTCCATGTGCCCTGGGCGTTTCTTTGCCACCAATGAGCTGAAACAGTTTGTTTTCCTCATGCTGGTTTATTTTGAGTTTGAGCTGAAGAATCCCGATGAGACGATACCTGAAATTGACTTCAGTCGATGGGGCTTTGGATCGATGCAACCCCAGAGAGACGTTGAGTTCCGATACAGAGTCAGATATTAAACCAATCAATCGTTGTGATTTCTCTTCTCTGTAAGCTGTTAGTAGACAGATATGTAGAAATCATGAGCTTCCACAGTAAAGTGTTCATATCAATGATGTGATTCAAAGCTTGATGCTTTAAAATGTTGGTTATAGTTAAATTTTCAACCATATTCTAATTAAGAACTACAATCAATTCCCTCCTATACAGTACAAATGCACTATTATTTTCTATACGTTGAAGAGTTTATTATGAATATATCTCTCTCTCCATTCTGCTTGTAAATCAGAGAGCAGTTCAATCCAATCAAGAACAATTCAGTTATCTTTGTATAAACTAATACCGTATATTGTTATAATATTGTGAATATGACTGCTTCTTTGCGCAGCTGTTTTCCAGTATGATATAATTTTCTGTAATGCTGCATGTCCAATGAAACACTGTTAATTATCAAAGTCTAGTAATTCATTCACGCAAGACCATAACAATGTGATTACAGTCAGAGAAAATTCAGAGTGTTGGAGACATCTCATTACATGTGTACGGAGGGGTGAGAACTTAAATGTCAAAAAGCAGAGATGCCGTTACTTTGTTAATACTGTATTTCTGTTAGATGGTCATCATGATGGTAGTTGGGTATCCTTATTTCAAGTAAGTAATCTGTTTTTTTGGGATGTGCATGCATGGAATGTCACTGGACTGGTTTCACTAGAAGGTCATGGTTTGGTTTAGATTCTTGTTAAGCTGTAATAAAAAAAATTTTTGGCAAATGAGACTGGAGTAGAAACAAAGTACATTTTTCTTGACTGGATAAACCCAGTACACACTGGTCTATGTAAGGGTTCATTAATAACATTGTTTTACAATTAAATTGTATTATTACAACAAAACAGAAAAGGGGGGCAAGAGACACAGGGAAGGGGGAACACAAAGAAAAACTCGAGTTGGTGGGTCGTAGTGGAGATCACTGCTTCACAATTAATAATACTACTGGAAATGTGTGGAAAGCTTCCTGTGAAAAGATTTGTCCGTGATGTCTGAGCATTGTATTTAAAAGTCATCACTGCTTTACATAAAAGACATAACAATATGCAGTAAATTCATTTTGGCATGCTATATGCTGTACTTCTATGTCATCTCACTAACCTTATTGTCAGATTTCAGGACTGTTTGTGGAGCTGTATTGGATTTCAGAAATTTGGTTGTGTACAAATTGGTAGTTATCTGTGACAGCAACTATGGTCTCCTAAACTATTGTGTTCCCTCCCATACAACAAAAGTGCTTTGTGAAATACATTTCGATGAAAACAGGTTTTCTCTCCTAATCATAGTCCTCAGAAGTCTGAGTAGGGAGGAAGTTGGGTAAGTGAAAACAGTAAAACAGTAAAATCTGTGCAGACAGAAATTATTATTAGTTAATAACAAACCTCTGTGAGTGACTATTGGTGTAGTGTGAAAAGAGCTCAGGCCAGCCTGTAAGAGGTCACACCTCAATGTATCAATCCCATTTTGCTTTGTAAAACAGTCCTGCATTGAACCCATGCAAATCCACTACTGCAGACTGGTTAGTTGGGTTCTCAGACCAAACGCACCCCCTGAACTGACAATGAATATACATCTTGGGTGCAGATAGTGCCAAGGTCCCTCATCCTTCGTGCGACGCTTAGCTCAACCCACACATTTTGTTCCACTGGTATTTCCTGCATAAGCCTGTACATGATCATAGCCAGAACTCACACTGGTCAGAGACAATTCTACAGCTTTGTTGTGAACTTTTGTCTCCACTAAGCAGTGAATAAAACTCATCTGAACCAGCTTCAGAATTGGACCTGAAAGACACTTTTCTTCAACATATTCAATATGGAATTACCTCCTCTCTTTATTTATTTTTTTAGATGGGCTGCTGAGGCCATATTCTCACATTTACACTTGTTATATTAAGAAGAGCTTGCACTACATGCTCCTCTATTGGTTGAGAGAGTTATATGCTTTAAAAGGGCTTTCGCAATGCACTTAAATTAAAAATATTCCCAAAACGTTGAAAAAACATTCACTGCCGTTTATTGGTGTGTGGCATGCTCACACACAGAGAAACAAAGGCATGCCTACATCTGGTACTAATGCATGCCACATGCTGGACTTCTGCGTCATCTCTAGTATCTCCTTCAACATAGAGGAAACTTTAGAAACACAACCTTTGCTTCGTGTAACAGCTGTCCAATATCAGGCTCAAACATTGCATCTTAAATCAGACAAATAGTGGCCAGGAAAACCAAAAACGTTGTGATAAGCCTGCAGTAAATACAGCCTTCAGTAATCCTACAATAATTACTGCCTTTGCCAAATGTACAATGTGTAATGTGAGACTGGGTCAGAGAGGTGTTTTTTAAGCCCTATTGTCACTTTTGAAGACTATGTTGTTGTGGATTTGTATTAGATTACGTTATTTTAAAATATGTGTCATATATTTTCACCTCCATTTGCAGTAATAGTGGGACAAGATATTAAAAGCAATTTTCAGGTTTCACCTTTATGTACATATACACATGCCATTCATCTTTTCTTGTACTTTTGACTTGTTTATGTGATGACAAAACATGTTTTGGACCAGTTTAATGATTTGTAGCACGCTAGATGTTTAACAAACAATTTGTTAACACTGGGATTTATTGGTCGTTGCCCAGAGAACTCATGGTGTGGCCTCTCAAAGTTTGGACTTTAATATTATTATATTGCTATATTACTGTATTGTTGAATGCACAAACTGGATAACTGTTGAACTGAACATATACATCAAAGTAATACTACTTAAATAGATAAATAAATAATATACATGCAGTATATTACTGGGATATGTTGCATAATGTGTTACATTTTTGCATAAAGGCAGACATACCATTACGTGGACGTACACACAGTCCCTCAAGTGGGTTTTGTAATGGTACACTGTGTTTACTTAGTATAGTTTACTTAGTTTGCTCTGAACTCAGTTGAACTTCAGTGTGTTAGCATACATGCCCAGATGTATCTTTCTTATTGTTGTGCAAAAGAAGAATTTGTCCTTGCCAGCGCAAAAAGATAACTGTAACTGTGTTGTATGACAATGTTCAAGCGCCAAGGCCGTCCGGCCGCATGTTTTGGTTGCTGACTGTTTGCTTTTCATTTTTGTTTCTATCAGTCTGATACCAAAATGTTCCTTACTGAGACTACGCATTCTGTTGTGATGATTGAACCTTCTCGGTGCAGAGAATAAATATTTAAAAGACAACCTCTGGTTTACGGTATTCTTTATTTCAGCATTAAAATACTCACGCAAAGCTGGTATGGGATTTTTTTCACCACAGTTTACAGATATGTCAGCAGCCATGATCAGAGCCAATGATGGTGTCATGCTGATAAGATAGCTACATGTAGAGGCCTCACTTATCTTATATTTATTACATGTTAGAAGTAGCCATGTAGCTATGGGTGTGCCCAATACAGTGGTTTGTATGATATCTTGCAAAAAGTTATTTTGTTGAATTTTGTGCATTTTCTTATGAATGTCACCCTCGTCATGTTCCATGCCTCTCGTATCAACCTTCAAATGTTGGTAGTTAATTATTTGTCTCCATCTAAAGTTAAAACATATTGTTATTTCAAACATAAGGCATTTGTTTTGCTCCCTGCTTTGTTTTTAATCATGAAATGTGTTTAACTACATAAGTTTACAGAGTATATTTCATGGACAATTTAGTTTGGAGCCATACACTTAAATTTAGGAAAGTAAACGTTTGATGAAATAAATCATTCACTCACATTAGAACATGACTTTTTGAAATATTTGCTGAATGCTTAACTACACACATTCGACCTCGTCAAGTTGTGGATTAGTGTTTGGAGAAAGCCATGTTGGGACAGTAAACTGGAGCTAAATTTACTCCTGTTTTACGTAGAATTTGTTGTTTCTTGTAAATCAAAGTTCATTAATATCAAGGTACAAGCTGCTCCTTTAACTACACGTAAGTTAAACTTCAACAAAATTCAAATCTTTTAAATTTTTGTTTTGTTTTCTTCAACACTTTATTTTAAGTGGGTAATGTAGAAAACCCAGAAACGCACTGAAGGTTGACCAAATCCCTAAAAAAATATATGTTGGAAATAATGCGGTTGATTGGTGATAACTTGGGCAGTAATCTCACATGTTATGCAGACATACACTTATGCACTCAGAAAAAGCTATATTGGGAAAAGCAAGGTTTTCGAGGTCCAGAGCTATACGTCACTGTTAATTTCTGGGTGAATGAATGGGGTTTTTAGTCGGAGTCATCCTGAATTAAATAAATAAACAGTCAGTGGTCATGGCAATGGAGGCGGACAGGCTGGGGAACAATGGAGCCTTTGGCAGGATGCTGGTCTCCTGAGTGTCCTGCCTGTACTTGGTGGTGAGGGGTTTTGAAGAAAAATGACCCATTGTCTCTCTCATCCTGCTTCTGAGCCTGAGCTGTGAAACGATGCCTCTGGATGCCTGCCCAAGATGACCTGCCATGAAGCATAGAATAAGCTCCTGCTTTATCCGCATGGACAGGTAGGTACAGCCTTCATTATTCTTTTGTTTTTTATTGTGGTGGTGTGGATTTTGCTATTCATAGTATACAGATGTTGGCTTTATACGCATCAACAAAGGATACATTTTTTTTTACCAGCCATTTGAACTCAACTGGAGAACTAGAAGTTTGTGCAACTTGAAGTGGCAGAAAATAAGTAGGTTTGCTTCTTCCTTTTTTTGCCTCAACATCAGCTAAGCAATTTCTATTCAATCTTAATATAGGGTGGTTAAAGACACCTCAAGTGGGGCTTAACACCACGCTGAAAGGTTGAATTTTAGTGCCATTGTCTTACATTGTATTGTTGTCTCACACCGTGTCCTGTATTGTATGTTTTTCATATAGCAATTCCTCCTTTCAGTCGGAGAGTTTTTATCAGAGTGTTGAACTCTTCCCAGGGAGACTAAATCATTGAGCTGTAGTCTGAACGCTGTTCCATGACCAGGGTGCAAAACAGGAATACGCTCTTCTATCAAGTTCTGAGCGAATCCTGAAAGAGCTGGCATCTAGTGTAGCCAAAATACATACAGGTGTTGGTGAGTGATAGGAGATTACACAGATATTAACTGAGTTAACCCATGGCTTTGTAAAGAGAAATATACTAATGGTGCCGTCTACTTAGGCTTAATTAATGAAGGCCAGATAGTACAGAACACAGAACACAAGGGAATTTGAATGGTACTGTTTTAATGAAGCAATATATATATATATATATATATATATATATATATATATATATACATATTAACTAGGCTTTCAAATCAAAAAAAAGAAAAACCTATTCCAGTGATTCAGAGGTGGGAGGAAAGCAATCACCAAAGCTTGAAACAATGAGACATAAAACAACCCTTCCTGTTTTGATGTAGCCTCCATGTGAACTGCTGTAGATGTTGGTATTTTTACACTCCTCAGTTATCATGATTTGATGCATTAAATGCCTGTAACTCAAAGCTTAAAGTCTGTGTAAAGGATTCATCTGTGATGTTTGTCACGAGGATCTCACACAGGTTTGTTTTCCACCTAATGTTACTGTCAACTGGGTCAGTGCTCCCAACATCAGAGCCATTATCTGTGGATGATCAGTGAAAACAGTATGTGCAGGTCATTGACATGAGGGAATGATTTAGAAAGTCGAACGCTTCTCCAAAAGTGTTTCTGAATATTCTCCAAGACTCTTTGCTGTAGTTGAATACATGATTGCCATCTAGTGGATAAAAGCATCCACTGACAAAAGTAGAGAAAAGTAGATTAGTTAAATGAAGGCTTTCAAACCAAACATGTCTCTATACACAGGTCTTCATTTTATATTTACTGAATGCAGAAAAGTATTCCCTGCACACATGATCATTAACATTGAAGGTGAATATGTCTCCCTATCTGGTACTATCTGTGAGACAGTGCCTTTTGCTTCACAGATTGCCTTTTCTTATCACTGGCTTAATAGCTAAGCTTTAAAAGTCACGTTTTTACTAGTACACCATACAGGATGTGCACACATACAGTTTTGATCTGAGCTTTTTTTTTTTACGCAAGAGAGAGCGTATATTGCCGTTATCAGTGGAATCCTGCAGCGTTGCTACCAGGAGTTCACTGAATTGGAGAAGGGCAACGGCACGAAGGCGTCTGGAAGGAAGGAGTTGCAGTAAGCATATCTCTGGTAGTCCAAATGACCCTGATTAGGTCTGCTGCTCCTTTGGGCTTGCCCCAGATCAGCCTATGACATGGCAAGTTAAGACAAGATAATGTCAAAGATTAACACCCTCCAGCTCTGCAAGCAAAGCGTTGTTATTTTGTTTGTTTGGATGGGTAGTTGTGTGTTGAATTTCACTGCCCTGATGGAAACCTTCATCAGCGAGTGAGTTTAAAAATACTAACGGGGAATAAAACAATGAAGTAATACACTTGTGAACTGAATACATTTGAATGATTCACTTGAGAGTTCAGTTGTAGTGTGTTGTGCCTTGTCAATTATACACATTATCTTCAGTCTTAATTAGTGTGCTCTGCTCATGACCTACTTTAATATCAGTGGAACATGTACACATACAGTATTTTTTGTCAACATTACCATCACTAGAGTATTTTTATTAAGACAATTGCTCCATTAAATCACTTTCTTTTCAATTAGTTGATAGCTCGTCAGCAAGATAACCAAACGTGATATGGTATCATGTAGCCCGAAGTCAATCCTGCACTGTGACCACTGGTTTGCATACTTTTCCAGTGTTGATAACTTCTCTGTGAAAGACAGGAACCGGCACACAGTTTGCACAAAACTGGGAAAAACTCATATCAGATTGTAAATTATTACAGAAATGTCCAAAGGGTGAGGTAACACCGATGCAACGCTTTATTACTTCCTATGAACATGAATGAGGCGTGATTTATTTTAGCTCTTGATGTCAGGTCTCTTTTTGGTAAATCTTTACGACCAGAATGATTGGACTATGTCAGGGCAGTAAAATGAATGGAACATTCTTCTGGGACCGGAAACAGGCCAATTCCAATGGAACATAATCTACTTTTCAGCCTCCTGTATTCAAATATTACTTTACATCATCATTTTCTCCAGCGCTTTAAATAGTTTTCCAGATGTGTAGTATAGAAGGAGGATGAGGTCACCTGTCATGTTACTGACTGAATATCTGCCACTTGTTTTTATTCCCTTCACACTATCAGAAATATTAACCAAATAAATTGTTTGTTTGTATAATTGTACAGTAGTGTTGTGGCTCATTTTGTTTGCTTTGCTCATGTGGGAGACGCAGAGCCCTGGCTGAGGGAAGTTGTTGGCATCCACCTCAAGGCTTTTCATCTCAGTCGCTTCAGTGGAGTCCAGCCTTAGTAAAACTGGCACGGGACGCACTCACCCCGGGGGTAGGATAGGCTCGGCTGAGAAACTGGGAGAAAAATGAACAAATGAGATGGGACTGCCACCACTCTCAGGCTGCCTATGGGATAGCCCCCCACAGCCTGGTAAGAGCAGTTTAATGATAGTTGCAGGAGAGATGGGGGAGAAGAGGAGAGGAGGAGAGGAGGAGTCCAAGCACCAAGTTGCATGTTTTTTGCTCTGGTGTCTTGTGTCACTCTTTTCTCTGAGGGGAGGGGGGGCATCCAAGTCACATGGTGGAGCTTGATCTGTTACATAAACACAGACCTCCACAGCCCCCAGTCTGCTCGCATCAACTTTATTCAGTAAATACATGCGGAGAAAACTCTTGCGATGACATTGGTGGCGGCCAAGGAGAGTTGTCGAGATGTTCACTCCTCCATGTTGCATCACTTCAACACTCGGCAACGCTGCAAACCCTCCCAGCTCCCAGTGACCTCTTAAAGGTGAAATTGTCTGGGAATAACAAAATCATTCCGTGAAAATTCAAATTAAGAAATTAAGAAATGCAATTAATTGATGATGTGATTCAATACAGCAACCAGCTATTTTGCTGATTATTTTCTCATCATTTTTGTCTTTAAAGTAAGTTTGAATTCTTATTTAATTGTTAGATTGTTTTAAAGGTTGTTCACATCTCACAGATGCTACCATAACTGAAAAAAAGATCTGCTCTATTTTACATTTAACACTAATTATAACCACAACCTAATGAATATTAAACATTCGCATTTGGCTGTCACATGATGCCAGACCTTGTGACAAGAGCAATGTCAAACGATGTCTAACAGGGGAATACTTTGATATTTTCCCAGCTCTGGGCAGTCCAATCAATATTTATCAACATGAACTACAGTTTCCCAAAGCTAGAATAGCCTGAATTGTCAGAGGACAAAAGGACGACACATAGACAGTCATTGGTTTGACTGTATGCATTTGTGCACATTTTGTTTTTGTTGGAAGTAACTGTGTGCCATTCAAATGTTTTCATGCAGTTCCAAAGACTAATTCATTGTTAAAAATCTATTGTTTTCTAATTCCCTTTTTGACAAAAGTACAGTATTTTCAATTATCACATAAATGCTGCTCTCATCAAAGAACAGTGAAATTAACTGCCTGAATTTTAAAGGACAACAATGGATTTTAATAAAGTAATAAAGTAATAAAGTAATAAAATATGTTGGTTTCTTTTGTACATACAGTTCAAGGGGAAACGTTGTTCTGTGAGGTTCTGAGAAGAAACAACAATGACAAGAGAATAAGGGTTATTTATAGGCCATGTTACATTTTTAGAAGTGAGAGTTATCAAAATATATCAATTTTAGATACTATATCATCAAATATAACTTTAACTTAACTGTCAATAAAAACACATTTTAAATGTATACATAATTTCTGACCTATGTATCAGTATTGTAAACCCAAGTTCTACCAACTGTTGAGGAAAATAAACTCTAGTTGACTTTTAGTTGAATGTTCACATAACAACCTTCTTATGGACCATCTGTGTCTTTTGGACGACGGGAAGATTTTAGATGCAGAGGAATGCACTGCAACTTAAAAACACGTGCGTATCCGTCCCTTAGGGATAGCACATGTCCAAATCCCAAATGCTCTACTCATTCCAGCAGCATCCCCTGTCTTCTTATCTTCAGTGCTGCACCAGGGGTGCTCAATACGCCACATCTCCTCAGTCAGACGGAGAGGGGGGCCCTGAAGGCGAGGCCTCGGGAGGATGGCTCCTGCAGGCCCAGATGGCTGACGCTCCGAGCTTTCTTTCCACCACAAACTACGCAGACAGAATGATATTTAAAATGCAAAGACTCTTAATGTGCTTGTAGACCTACTGTCTCACTGCAGTTGTCTTTGCTCTGCCACTAATAACAGTCTAATATCCTTACAATATCTTGAGAAACAGGAAATCAAGAATTTTTGATAATTTAAGGAACCGAGTTGAAAGCGTGATCTGATTAATGGCGGCTTTACTGATGTTGAGCGTTACTCTTGGCTTTATAGCTGCATACGGGTCATAATTAAGGGTTATTGAGGGTCTTGTGAAAGCAACATTATAATAATATGTTCCCTGTGACAGTGACCAGACACATTTCATTAACGCAAGCCAGACACTAACCCGTTTGTCTGTCCTTTATTAAAAGAAGTTGACTTTAGATCCCTTCCCGAACATCGCAGCAAGGTTCTGGCACTTACAGTAAAGAGATGGAGAAATTCCTTTCCGACTTTAATCCTGCATGAATCACCCCCTCATCTGTACTTTGTCATTTTATTTCCCACTTAAAAAAAGAATGTAAGGAGTGTGCGTGAGTGTGAGAGAGACTTCTGCATGCAGCCGCTCTTGCCGCCGTGTGAAAAAATCCACCTCACGCCTCAAGTAACAACGTGTGGTGATGCTACTGCACCTCCGCAGGCCGTGGTGAAAGCTTGAAAGTATAAACATCGAGTCGGAAAAGACGTGTAGCGGGAGTGTAGAGTGCGGCCTGTCCACTGCTCTGTTACCTGGCCATCTGCCTGGACGGAGGATCTAAATATTATGACACTTAATATGACTGAGCGTACCTGTTGGTTACATTCTAGCGGATCTGCACTGAGGCAAGGTGGCTTATGTCTCGGTGACACTTCTGTCCTCAAACTCCCTGTCTTAGTCTCCCAAGCCTTGTTTCCTCATAAGGGACACCTACTGTAAACTGTTATAATTGACACATAATATCGAGGTTGCTTATCTGCATTTGCTGTGGTTGATGTGTGCATTTGCTGTGGTTGATGTGTGCATTTGATGTGGTTGATGTGTGTGTGTACGTGTGTGTGTGTGTGTGAGTCAAGAGAGAAAGAGAGTAAAAGTTGTGGATGAATTACCTTTTAGCATTTTTACAAATGTGTGTGAAGTGTGCCACGACTCTATACGTGACCTTCTTTCTCAGAGTGAGCCACTGCTGTTGGAGGACATGTGGGCATCATCCTGCAAGAAGCTGAGATACATTGATGGAGATGTAAAGAGAGAGAGGGAGAGAGAGAGGGACAGAAAAAGTAAGAAACAGAAAGAGAGAGAGAGAGGGAGAGACCTTCATCATCTGTGTTACAAACATTGCACATGAGCGTTGGGGGGGAAGGTTGACTGTGCTGCGATTAACACGCTCCCTCAGCTGGGTGTTCTTTTCAATCTGCAGTGCCATATCCTCAAGTCTGAACCCTTGGATGAGGGTCATTCGCCAGAGGAGGATTTTTTTCTGCCTCTCTGTTTTTTATACTTCCTTCTTGAGCAGAAGGCTGGTGTAATAGAAACCAGACACAAGCCAGAATGTGAGGCATTCACAGCGGCAAGACCTCACTTCTCCACAGAGTGGGGAAACGGAATAAATAGAAAGTGTGGTTTGAAAAGTTCCATCATTGTTTTTTTGTATTTTTGTTTTTGCCATTCTGGAAGTTATCAATAAGACGGAAAAGGCCAGGAACGTTAGGATGGAAGTAGTATTCAATGGATCAGACTGTGCAGGGGATATCTAGAGAAGGCACAGGAGACCTTCAGGATGGGAAATGCATGTGCAACTTTTCAAGGTGGGTTGTTTCAGTTATTTACCTTAAAGAAACTATTATTAAGAGCCTGTCATATTATTGTAAATGCCCATTTTGTTACAGTGAAACTGTGGACTGTTTGTGGGTTCCGGTGTCTGAATTCATTCTGCAGAGAGATCATTTCATGCCAGTGTAGTAGTTTATCAAAAATGACTATTCCTCTAAATCAATTGAACCAATGTTGCAAAAAGCTATTCACTCAACTCAATACAATATGATGCATGCTTAATAATGTTAAATGTATTGGGCTTGCATCTGTTTAAACAATCTAATTTATTAGTCCTTATTACACATTTATTTTAAAAAGCGGTTCTAAATTGTGGAATTGAATTATCATAAAATGTTTATATTTTCTGTAACTACAATACCTCTGCAGCTAATACGGTAATATTCGATAAGCTGTATTTCTGAAACATGTATTGCCTTACAAAAGTATGTTTTATTGACCTATTTTAAAATTTTGAAAAATGTCTACCACTTGGAGTGAGTTGCTTTGTATGACATGTTAACTGACACAAATCAAGCAAACATGCATGAACCCAAACATGGTCTTAGTTGAATTTACATTGCTGCATTATCTTCAGTAAAAATCTAATCTTTATTTATTAAACAGGCCAGTTCCACTTAGGTTATAAATGTATTTTCAGAGGATACCTGCATGGTTAAAATGGCAACAGCACAAAAAATTAAAGACAGACAAGGCAGCAAATAATCAACACAACAAGCTGTAAAAGACATCAACAGCAGGCGGACATCTCAGGATCACTTCAACGTTAGGGTGTGATGTTGATGCTATACACAGCAGATTTGTTTAAACTTATGAATTCTCAGCGTCGCGGCCCCTCCTGTCATGCCATCCTGGGGCAGACATGAGTTGCCCACTATAGGTGCCATCTGTCTCCATGTGGCTGTACCTCTCCCCAGCGTCAGCAGTGCTGGATCTGGAGGGGAGGCCTCGTGGCAGAGCAACAAGCCTCTCCTGTTCACTCAGATGGCAGGGGAGATGACACATCCCATGCCAGGGAACACAGTGCCGCAGTCATGAAATCAACATGAACAGTACAGCTCCATGAATGAAGGGTCAGAAGCGCTACGCTGTCTCCTCGTCGCGGCCTCAATCACCGCACAGAGTCAGATTATGACACTGTGAGGTTTCATATCATCTGTTAGGCTGTGTGTGTGTGTGTCCCGCGGCATGATATGTGTTGCCATGCCGGGTACAGTACGTTTCTGAAGTGGCTCTCTGAGTGGAGCACACTCTTGTACCAGAATGAGCTTTTCTTAAATTCAGAGCTCTGTCAGTTTCGTTCTGTGTCTTCAGCCTGTCACCCTCTTGCAGTGTTCAGCGTGTTCTTTGGTCAAAGCTATACTCAAAGTGGCTGTTGTTGTTGGTGGGTTTTTGCATGGCTGATGTTTGTGTTTTTCTCTTTTTTTTCTTTTCTTGCCTTTTGACATTTCAACCTTTTCATAAACTATTTCAATCGGTTAGAAGGGGATATTAGAAGTACGGCGGGATGTGTGTTTAGATAGGTTGACTGAATGACATCACCCCACTCACTGACATGAATCAACACGAGCCATTGTCTTGTGTTTGGCTGCAGAATCAGTAAAAAACGAATGTCTCCTCTACATCAAGAAGTCTTCGTCTACAGTTTGACAAATTTCAAGTCCACATTTCCAAGTTATACTGTAGGTCCACACTGGATTATAGCTGGAAATGGATGGTAGATTAGAGTGACAGAAAATAAATCTGCAACTATTTTTGAACTATTTCTCATTTAATACTTTTTTGATAAAAGAATATTACATCAATTTAATATCTTTGGGTTTTGGGTTTGAGATTGGTTGTAAAATATAATAATAAGATATTTTGAAATGTCCCGTTGGCTCTGGGACATTTTTATAGACGACATAGTTGGAGCCCTAGTCTGGATTTCCTTTGGTTGGACACAAACAGCACAGGCATTTCATATAAGGAGTACAACTGTGACGTTACAATATAATACAACAACGTAATATTATCTGTGATTCCTCGTGCAACATGATCATTTATTCAAACATTGAATCCAACTGCAACTCATAGCTTTCTCAGCTCAACCACATTCTTCAATGGGTCCCTACTAAATACATTCTTTATTCTCTCTTTACAGATTCTAGTTGACAAGCTTGTTGGAGCAACATGAGCTGGAGCTTTCTCACTCGTCTCCTGGAAGAGATCCACAACCACTCCACCTTTGTGGGGAAAGTGTGGCTGACCGTGCTCATCATCTTCCGCATTGTGCTCACAGCGGTTGGAGGTGAGTCCATCTACTCGGACGAGCAGACCAAGTTCACCTGCAACACCAAGCAGCCCGGGTGTGACAACGTATGCTACGATGCGTTTGCCCCTCTCTCGCATGTCCGATTCTGGGTCTTCCAGATCATCATGATCTCCACTCCCTCTATCATGTACATGGGTTACGCCATCCACAAGATAGCCCGAACTACAGAGGTGGCTCGCAGGAAGCACCACAGGCTCCGCAAAAAGCCTCCTCCTCACTCCAGATGGAGAGAAAGCCACCACATGGAAGATGTCTTAGAAGAGGATGAAGATGACGACGCTGAGCCCATGATCTATGAGGATACGCTGGAGGTGCAGGAGGCCAAGCCCGAACCAGTGAGCAGCACTGGCAAAGACCCACCAAAACACGATGGCCGCCGAAGAATATTGCAAGAAGGCCTGATGAGAATCTATGTTCTACAGCTCATGTCGCGAGCTATTTTTGAAATCGCTTTCCTTGTAGGACAGTACCTCCTCTATGGGTTTCGAGTTAGTCCGTCATATGTATGCAACAGAGTCCCCTGTCCACACAGAGTGGACTGTTTCATCTCCAGGCCCACAGAGAAAACAATCTTCCTCCTCATCATGTATGTGGTGAGCTGCCTTTGTCTAGTGCTAAATTTGTGCGAGATGCTTCACTTGGGAATTGGTACTTTTCGGGACACCCTCCGCACGAAGAGGAACCGGGGCGTACGGACGTCCTACAGCTACCCGTTTTCTCGAAACATCCCAGCCTCTCCTCCAGGTTATAACCTTGTGATGAAGACAGACAAACCTAGCAGGATCCCCAACAGCCTCATCACCCACGAGCAGAACATGGCCAACGTGGCCCAGGAGCAGCAGTGCACCAGCCCAGATGAGAACATCCCGTCTGATTTGGCAAGCCTACACCGGCACCTACGGGTGGCCCAGGAACAGCTTGATATGGCCTTTCAAACATATCAAACCAAAACCAACCAGCAAACATCCAGAACCAGTAGTCCTGTATCTGGGGGCACAATGGCAGAACAAAATCGAGTGAATATGGTCCAAGAGAAACAAGGAGCGAGGCCAAAATCAGCCACAGAGAAGGCTGCAACCATTGTAAAAAATGGAAAGTCCTCTGTCTGGATCTAGAGATTAATCTAATTTAGTAAATTAACAGTTCAAACTTTTAGGACTCCAGGACTGCACTGTGACACAGCTGGAGGATGTGTGTGTGTGTGTGTGTGTGTCTGTGTGTGTGTGTGTGTGTGTGTGTGTGTGTGGTGTGTGTGTGTGTGTGTGTGTGTGTGTGTGTGTTTGTGTGTGCGAGAGAGATGCGACTTAGGACAATAACAATTGAGAATTTCAATCACCCGCTGAAGGAGTACAGTACATAGTTTTTGGGAATTTAAAAGAAAACACACATGTGGAACTTATCAAATCCATTATCACGAATCTTCTTTGTTACTGTAGTGTGTCATTTTGTGCTTCCCATAGCTTTTGGACATGGTTAACATGTGCTTACTTAGTTAAACATCTCTAATTCCAGCTAAAATGTCAAAGTATAAACAAACTGCTTTGAGCTATTTATCTGATCTACCCTTGACTGCCACTAAACTGGATTAATTCTAACTTTGTAAGTGTGATTGTACCCTCAATCCAAATATAAAAAACGCAGTAAAAAACACTGTACAAATGCACAATGACTCACTTCTGAAGAACGAGGATTATTGTTGGAACGATGCATATTTAACATGTTGGGATGTATTTTTGGATGTAGTATGGAGGAGTGTTTCTGGAAGTGAAAAGCAGATGAAATGTGAAATATTTTGATAAAGATAATGAAACAGGGATGGCTCTTCTGGTGGACATCTGCTCGGTGTGATGATCTTGAGTCATTGCGTGCAAAGCCTTTAACTATTCTATATTTTTCAAAGTCTTGCAGTGTCACGTTTCAAGGGGAAGAGGTAAGTGAATAGAAAATCAGTTTTTTTCTAAACTAAATACTGATTTTCCACGAACGGAAGCCGATGATGCATGCTTTAGAACTCGGAACATAAAGTATCCATATATCCTACAGTAGAAACCCGTCCTTAGCTATTCAATTAGCTCTATATTTATCTTATGTTTAGACATGTTAGGTCTTGAAGATGACCATTTCAATTTGTATGTTTCTAAAATTGGTTTCTGAATAATATTTAATCCTGCCTTCACTGTTGTCATACTTCAAAGTGCCTAAAACGTTTAAAGACTGTTCTCGTATTTCATCCATGAAGGAATAAAGTCATTTGAAACCTCTGAGTTCTTGCTATATAACACACATCCGCCTCTCTGCTTCGCCACACTAATAGCAATGGTGAGTCTTTGAAACTGCAAAGGGAAAAGTTTTTATCATTGAAGTTGTAAAGTTATTTCATGCTCGGGATGATTTGTTAAGATTCTTCTTTTACTGACCACAGCAGATTTAAAGTACATGTACTTGTTTTAAGAAGAATTTTGAAATGTACGGGGCAGTAAACTTTAATGAGGAGAATCGTACTTAGTGATGTAGCAAAGCGTTGTTGCAGGAGGGGCATATCATTTTTACCACCTACGAAATCACACAGCATTGTATTGCCTTAATTAAATATGGGAAAATACCATAAAAAATGAAAAGTAGCTCTTTTACAAAATCAGCAACAGCAATGAGAAAATATTTAAAAATAAAACATAGGCCAATAATTAAAACAAGATTTAGGGTGTATACGTTAAGATTGACTTCTGGAGACAAACACCCATTAAATATTGGATAAGTAGCACCACGTGTGGACCAAACAAAGAAACCTAACCTACATTGCAGTAGCTCATTGTATACAACAGCAAACCCCATCAACGATCTGAAAAACTCCATCCTAAACATGACTAAATTATCTCCATATTTACAAATTATCACTGTATTCTGAGAGTTACAGGCGCCCTAGGAATGTTCTGTATCTAAACTCGACATCTTCTTACAAATGTAGGTTTCTTTTACCAAGCATTTGTATCCTGAAAGAAACCATTTGGTGCACTTTCACTTCACTTCATAGAGTTTTATTCTCTATTTTCCATCACTTGTGTTAGAAACAGGATTGCATGTTTGAAATCATTTACCTGCTAATGAGTTACACGTTTTATTCGGTAACTTCAGATGTGTGATCAGTTTTTTTGTATTTTCCCATCTGTTAAGAACTTTTACTGAGCAGTGAATGTTTATAGAGCCTTGGTGGGAGCCATATTAAATGACATAGGCTGCCTGCTGTGCATTCATTCAAGTAAATTTCATTCCTAACACTAATATAGCCATTGCATAGGTGATTGAATATTTCAGTTTAGACATGGCCTGTAACTTTTTCAATGTCACGGTATGTTATAGAGCAATACAATAGTTATCAATTGTGTCACTGCTGACTTAAACTTCCTGAATATAATGCTCAGTGAAAATGACTGCTGAATGTACATGAATCCATGAAGTGGACATGCGGTAAGTCAAGTTAATCAATAAGAAATCATGCTACCTCTGAGGTAACACTGTTTATTTCATCTGTATAATCCAATGCATTTCAAAAATCACATTGGTACTATGCATACTTAACACAACACCATGTGCTGTGTTTAACAAAAGCATGTATGATGAACTTGAAGTTTTACCAGAACATTGCAGATAAAGATGCACTAAATCTGTCTAGTTAACATATGAATGACATATTGACAACTTATCTTGTGCATATCTTGTTATAACAAGGCTAAACTAAACAACTCCTCATGAACATTATATAACTGCGAATATTTTGGTCGTTCTCATGTAATAAGGAAATATATTGATATATCACATGCGTTATTTGGCATTACCTATTTGTATTTGTTTCAACATATAGATTTTAACAAGCAGGCCTAAATCTCAGGCAAATCTCAAATTTCTGTTTTTGTTACCTCTATGTAAGCATGTTATACTCAACAAAAGCGACAGGAGTTTAGTGTAACTGTACATCTAAAAGTGAAGTAACAAACGTTTCCTAACAAGTAACGTACTGTACGTGTATACCACGCGAGCATCGAGCAAAACGTCACACACATCCGAGGTCATGTTATTATGGCGCAATGCATTGTGGGGTTTCAAAATGGAGCCCTTGCTGCCGGAGTCAACCGCCATGTCCTGTGTTATGTAGCCGTCGACCGCTGTTAATTAACAGGCGGAGTAGCCATTTAAATTTGACACGTAATACAACAATGGGGAGTTTGTGTTTCGCCAGGGGAGCGTTCACGTCCGCCACAAAACACACGGGTCGATATTTGTGCGTACCGTTTCTCTTCGGTGTTTCAGCTCCAGCAGGTGTCCTTGTTAGAAGGTACAGCCAGGACACTGCCCGGAGAGATGTCCCCGTTCAGTGTGTGTGCTATCACCTACCTCACAGGACTTTACTTAAAATCCAGGGACAAGACACGAGCCCGTTCCTTCAGGGGATCATAACCAATGACATGGGGCTGCTGGAGGAGCCTGGACTCACAGTTATGTACTCGCACATGCTAAATGTACAAGGAAGAACACTATATGACATCATATTGTACAGGTAGAGTATACTTCATTATACCGTTTTGTGTTTTCAGTTGACACCAGGGTGGGGCTAACGTTACTTATCTCAAAATGCAGTTACTGGTCGTTGGTAGCCCAGTAGCAGACAACAGAGTCAGTGGTGTGTGTTCAGTGTGGCTCAAACATTAGCTAACGTTAGGCACAGAGTCCTATGTTTAAGGTTAAATATACCAAATACAGGGGCACTGTGACTTTGACGTCAGTGGGATTTAAAAACACTCCCACTGTGCCAGCTGTTGTGCAATATGGACCTGGGGAAAAAAAAGACACTTTCCAATATGAAATGGCCTTCATTAAATACAGGAAGTGAGATGATGTATAAATGCTATTTGAAAACATTTTTTACATTGCTAGAGCAGCAATTTGTGAATGAACTTCGCTGGCATATAAGGGCGGTCTATCTTTTCTTATTTGCAGGATAACTGGTGATGACAAGTAATCACATCCAGATAGTTCATGCATTATGTCATAAGAGATGTCATAAGGCACGATAAGCTTATATTTTAATGAATAGATGGCAACACACGGAGCATGAACTATTGTAACCCGGCCTGTCAAAAAATGCTACGTTACCATTTGAAGGACGCGTGTATGAATTTTAGCTGACAATGAAATGTGGTCGACCTTCTCAGCGGATACTAGTATATAGTAGCATCTCAATAGATACTAGTATGTGACTGTCGCAAAATATGTGAACTCTGCCTGGAAAGATAGACCTCTAATCCAGCTACAGATTAATTTTATTCAGTTTATTGTTACACAAAAATGTCTAACCAGCTGTTTATAAAACAAGATACTTTTTACCACTTCTTTAGGTGCTACACCAAGATCTCTCTGGGCAATAAACGGTCATTAACTCAGGTTAATCTGCAGATTTGGGGAAATACATGTTTTCACCATAAATGTCTGTTGTAACACTGAGTTACCTGATTGTATAGTTTTTATGGTGGACGTTGTGTTTCATGAGGCACTAAATTTGCTGTGTTTCCTTTCAGTCTGAAAGAAGCAGATGCAGGACAGGGTGTTTTCCTGGAGTGTGACAGCACGATTAAGGACTCAATCTTGAGACATTTGAAGATGTACAAGCTCCGCAGAAAGGTCAACATGAACCCCTGTCCAGAGCTCTCTGTTTGGGCGGTGCTTTCCAAACCACAGAACGCAGGTCAAGAGGCCAGTACACCTGAGCTCTCCTCCCCAGACAAAGCTCTGGTTTGGGACACCGATCCTCGAACTCAGGAGATGGGCTGGAGATTGGTGTTGGACAGTCGAGTTGACCCCTTGGATGTCATTGCGTCATGTCAGAAAGGTGACACAGAAGAGTATCACAGACATCGCTACACAATAGGTAAGACCAGTCAGAATATGTAGAGTTTGTTAGAGAGGAAAAGAAAAACAGGACATGAAGTAAGGATTTGTACTCACTTGTATTTGTATGTGCTTTTGACTCTTTTTGACATGTTTTGTTTATATCCTTTACTGTCATTGTTGTCTAGGGCTTCCTGAGGGAGTAAGGGACCTTCCTCCTGGGCTGGCACTACCGCTAGAGTCAAATCTTGTCTACATGGAGGGTATCAGCTTCAGCAAGGGCTGTTACATTGGCCAGGAGCTCACAGCCAGGACTCATCACACTGGGGTGGTTCGGAAACGCCTGATGCCAGTACGCTTGTCAGCCCCGGTCCAAGCCCTCGAGGAAGGAGCTACGCTGCAAACGCAGACAGGCAAGCCAGCTGGGAAGCACCGAGCAGGGGTCGGAGAGCTGGGCCTGAGCCTAATCCGCTTGGCTCATGCCAAAGAAGCGTTGACACTCAAATCTTCCGATGACACCACAGTGACACTCGAGGCTTCTGTGCCAGACTGGTGGCCTAAAGACGTGAATATTAACTGAAGAGAAGGATGTTTTATTGTTCCCTCAAATGTGACGCACATCCCATCTGACAGACTTCTTACAGACAGAACCCTGAAGTACAGTATGTTACACTGTCATTGCTTCACAGCTGTGTGGCACTAATCCATTTTTGTGAGGATTTTTGTTTTGTTTGCAATAAAATCTACTCTTTGGGGTGATTTTATAATAATCACCCCAATATAATAATTATTTAGCAGATCTATTTTCAGCACGATACAGGATATACCAACAGTGGTATGGTATTGGTGGTTGCTGAATAAACATACAAAAAAGCAATACAAAAACTCAATATGTATTTTCTTTTTTTTAAATTTATCCATATTTCAGTGCAAAACAAATTCCAAACATTCATAATAAACATTTGAGATTGCCGTTGATCTCAAACCAAAGGTGTGGTAACACCTTTATCCTTTTATTCGCACTGTACAAATTGGCACTTTTCATTCAAGCCATTTCCAGACGAAGGTAACATTGAGGCGACACCGCTGAACATCTTATTCCTGATAAAGGAGGTGCTGCCCCCTTGTGGACTGTATGGTGTCCCGAATTTGCTGCAACATGGTTTCTGGCTGCAAAGTCAAAGTTGAATGATCAAGCCGCTTGAAGTCTTCATTGCAGAGTAGGCATTCAATAACGTGAGCCACTCTTTGTAGGTCAAAGGCAGCATGGTAAGGTCCAAGTGTGGTGAGGGTCTCCGAGAGATGCCGAGGGTAATCGCAGGAATCCCCAGAGGAACGAGCATTCAGGAAAGCAATTCGGTTGTCGGCAATGATTTTCAGGAACGATGCAAATTCTGCATAGTTGATACCAGAGCAGGCCTTCATAATAACCTAAAAAGTAAAACGAACAATGACTAAGTATGACGTTGCAAACATTCACGGCAGCAGCGTGTTTCTAGAAAGCATGCAGACTTGTCTCTCTGAAGTACCTGGCAGTGCTGATGCCACGAGTCCATCGTGTTTCTCCACTCGTCTATCTCCTTTTGAACAGACGAGAGCTCGTTCTGAAGGAACTGCCACATGATGTCTACATTGCAGCCATTCAACCAGTTATGGTTAATAGAGATGGTGTCTTCCTGTCATAAGAACATTAAAGAGAGAATCCCCATGTCACAATTAGATAACAGACCTTAATGTATGATATGTCATAAGGTAGGTATTTAAACTAACTCAACTGCTTGGATTTTGTTGCCTTTACAGTTCTTACCAGATTATAAACTTGATGGTGCCAGCCGCTGGGCACGAAGATGATCTCACCCGCCTCTTGAATAATTTCGAGGGGTTGACAGGCTTCTTCAGAGTGTGGAAAAAGACCTCTGTCTCGAAGCTCGGCCGACGTTACATCATAAGGAAGGTTGCCGTGAGTGTCGCGTAAAAACTCCTCCTGACCTGGAGGATACAGGAGCCATTTCTTCCTGCCGCAGATGTTTGCAGACCAGCTGTAGGAGCGGAACACATCGGCGTGGAACGGGGTCCTGGAGACGAGAAAGCGCATCTGATTGATAGATGTCCCGTATGTGTTGCCTCACACAACCTGACAATAAAAAGCTATATTCTAAATTGTTGCAAAAATTATGTTAAATGTTTCATACCATGAGCCCTTAGGTCCCATGTAGACAAATCGGTAGTCATCCACTTCAAGTGTATCCCAGTATTCATTAAGCCAGTCAGAAGAAAAGAAGACTGGTGTGGTGTAAACATTATGCTCTGGAAAGTCCCTGTAGAACCAGAATATTAAATGTATCATGGGTAATAATGTACACTGTGCTGTATGAAACAAAGTTTAGTTAAATCCATATGAATGAATACCTTGACATGTGCCAGTCTTTAAGATAAAGACATCCTTTAGGTGATGAGTGGCCATTCTGGATGTATTCCTTCCAGTATTGTATAAATTCTTTAAAAGGCATTACTTGTTTAGGGTTTGCATTGTACTCCTTTGCATTGCAGTTTGCAACAGGAACAGGAGTCTCATCTGTGATGAAGAACAAACACATTATCTTACAGTAGCATTACACGACACCAGTAATTGCAGCCGCTGCATTATGACGCATGGTAGTTGGTTAACGTGTTAGTAATAGACCTATTTACCGAACTCTTGTAGCAGTTTCTGGAAATTGGGCTTCCCCATCTCGGACACCCATTGTTTTCTACACTTCCAGCCCTCCGTAAACCTTCTTGAAAACATACACGGGTGATTGGGAATCAAGTATTTCTTGAAAAACTTAGAATAGCTCAGCTCCTTGTCGATGTAATCTACAAAATGTGAAGACCAGAACTGTTCGTACGACTGCCTTGGCATTTTGACCAGGCTGCAGCAGTTACGGTACGTCTCCCCGTCCATAATGGTAAACAAGACCTCGGCTAGCCTGTTAGCAAGCCTAGCTAGCTGTCACCGGTTGGACAGCAAGAAACGGTAATAATAAGCTAGCAGGTCGATTAGTTTGACGTTACATAGCAAACGGCTTTTTACTAACGCTGTCAAACACAGGCTAGATTAGGCTGCAAATCATACATTATGCTAAAACGTGTTTTATTTTCTATTTTGACAACAGGTCGCTGCATATGACTCCATCCCGAAGAAGATATAGCAGGTTATATGGTTCCTGACCGACGGACATATAATATACCGTTGGTGTTTATTTATTGTCACTACTTCCTATATTGCCGTTTCAATGTATTTAATACGAACACTGTAGGTATTTTTATTTTTTTGCTAAATCAAAAACCGCCACCCTAGCTAACGACGATTATGCCGCGGTAGCCTTTTCTCTGACAATAGTCATTTTCAAGGCGGACAGTAAATACAGACGTGCTCCTGCGTGACGTCACTTCCGTAATAAACATCAGCGATACCGATGGGTAACGTCATGCTCAGCCCAGCGAGGTAAATGTTGTTTTCGATCAATGGTGGTGTGGGACGGATATAATTGCATCCGAGAAGAAGTGATACACGCTAAGAGGGTTTATAACGTTGTACTGACGCATGCGTAATGCGGTCGTTTTCGATAGAAAAGGTCGCTCTACCAAAACTGAAGCTGCCAGTCTGAACGCCTCAGCTGAGCTCATCTGCTGCCTGGATCCCTCATTACATTCTGAAGAAAGTATGTTCCTTGTTAGGACACAGAGAGATCACTCTGTACAATGTCCTCATTGTGTGGTTAACAGCAACAGTGTGTGAGCTTGTATAGGAGATAATATGTTGCCTGATACTGAAGCTTATTTGTCCTTCTAGGTGAATCAGTGTATCTCCAAAATGAGCCGGGGCGTTGCTATCCACAGCTGGTCCGGCTCCTATTACATCAACAGTGAGAAGCGGTGGGAAAATGGCTCGCTGTCTCTCACCCGGACCATGGTGTACTTCGTCTCTAACCAGAGTAAGGAGAGCCTGGCCAGCTTCCGCCTCTCGAGGATCATGAAGATCAAGATGGAGTCGTCCAGTTTCATCTTCAGCACGCTCACAGTGCTTGAAGAGGGCAACGTGAAGCACTGGTTTGGTTCCCTTAAGCCCAACAGGGTGGTGGTTTATAATGTGTTAGAGCACTTCTGGAGGGAACGCCTTCTGTCCCCCACCTCGGAGGCCCGGGGGGCCGAAGGTCAACCCTCTAAAGGCAGAGAGCTGATCAACCTGGTGGCAGAGTCCCAGAGAAGGCTGGAGGACACCGGCATGGTCCTCAGCCACCAAGGAGAGCAGTTTGACAATGTGATGCAGGGGCTGGAGAAGATTGACTCTGATCTGGGCGTGGCTGATAAGTAATTATCTGATGATTTTTTAATTTGGAAGACTTGCTCATATTTTATTCTAATGCTGTTGACTGCTATAATTAAGTAGTTCCAATACAAAAACAGGCCCAACATAACAATAGTGAAACAAGTCATACACCCATGATTTCATCCTTTCTCTGTTGCAGACTTCTGTTGGAGCTGGAGTCTCCCTCCTGGTGGCCTTTTGGTAAACTCCCCTGGAAGACTCAGCAGGACGCCAAGGCGGAGGACGCTTCAAGAGCTGCGGCCGCGGCAGCTTCCGCGACCGGGAAAGGGTCCGGTAGAAATAAGGTGATCGCAAGCATCCCAGCTGTAGTGAACAAAGGCGGGAACTCTGACTTAAAACCCGGATGCTTGTTGGTGCTGGTCTCCTCGCTGGAGGTGCGAGACACAAACTGCCAACTCCTTCACCGTTTTGAACGGAATGAGGTCGATGAGATCAGGGTGCACAGTCCGTATGAGATCACGGTTAGACAGCGGTTTATTGGGAAGCCGGATATATGCTACAGGTTCCTGTCTGCCAAGATGCCAGAGGCGATGTCCGTGTTGGAGATGCAGTACAAAAAGAAAGTGGAGCTCACTAGTGAATACTCTGCTTTCAAAGCAACTCCGTTTTCATCTCCGTGTGACACAGAGGGGCCAAACTGGAACGAAGGTGAGGCATGGATAATATACATATCAAGCGTTCCCTCACTGTTTCCATGTCTCGTATGGAATTGACCACTAAGTGGCAGTAAAGGTCTATGTTTCCACCTCTGTATATTTATAGGTGTGCAGCCACATGTAAAAACATTTCATCCACATGCTTTTTGGACACGGTTACGGGTGTCTCTCCCTGACAGATATTTAGTTTTGATGAGTCACTTCATCCTTATTGCCTCAGTTACTTTGAGTTTACTGTCTGGTTTCCTCATAAACAACATATGCACTCTGCACTTCTTTTTCTGCACCATCTCCACCCATGGAGTCAGGTTTGCTGCAAAAGTGCCAAGAGACAGATCTCCCACTGGAGGTCCCAGCAGGAGCGCTGTCCCAGTTGCAGGTGCACGTCCTCCAGCCGTCTGTCAGTCAGTCCGAGGCCCAAGAACTCAAACAGGTGAGACCTGTGTGGATATGTGACTTGCATTTATATTTGTATAATTCAGTGTGGCTTTGTGGCACAAAGGCAGTAAAACTGCCTGTGCCAAAGCACACTGATTGTAATCCTGCGGGCTTAATAATAATAATAACTAGAAAATTTCACAAGAAATTTTGACAGTGTGGCTTCTACTGCCCGAAGGCGTCGCAATATATATAGCTACACACGCGATGTTACCGGTAGTATCGTTGAGGTTCGATTGAGATATCGCTTTTCTCTTTTCTGCATTTTAGATTCATACTCTTGGATTCAATCTTGTATTTGTGATGGACAGTCCACAAATGGCTCCCATCATTTCTGTACTGGACATGTACATCTTTGTTTGAGAAGCCTTTGGAAATGATGGGAGCTGACGCTCCCATCATTTCTGTACAAACCTCATTCTGAGCTTCACGTTAAGATACAGTTACTGTTAAACTTATACGCACCTAACTATGATGATGAATCCTTTATTCAAGATATTTTTATGAAGGTATCATGGGACAACAAAACATACTTGTAGGAGGTGATTTTAATTTTTGTTTAGATCCTATATTAGATAAATCAGCCACAACAACATCCAAAACAAAAGCAGCTAAAACTACCTTATCGTTTATGAAAGAACTGAAATACAATACATTACATACCTACAAAGTTGAAAAAAACATTTTACGGACCAAACAAAAATATTATGAATTGGGAGAGAAAGCTCACAAAATTCTGTCCTGGCAATTGAGAACAGAGGAAAACTCAAGGTTAATTAATGCAATTCAAACTGAAACGGGTGCAATCTCACACAAACCAACAGAAATTAAGGACTCATTCAAACAGTTTTATACAAATCTATATACATTAAAATCGCCAGAAGATCTATCTAAGATTGATGAATTTCTGTCCACTATTGAATTGCCGAAATTCGGCCACGAAGACCAAAAGAATCTTCATTTGCCCTTCACTCAGAAAGAAATTGAAAAGGCCTTATGTTCAATACAACCCAATAAATCACCAGGAGAGGACGGCTTCCCTCCTGAATTCTACAGAGAATTTAAGGACTTACTTACCCCCCTTATAATGGATGTGATCAATTTAGCATCCAAAACTCAAACTCTTCCTGAATCATTCTCCACTGCCATAATCACTGTGATTCACAAAAAAAATAGAGATCCATTAAAGTGTTCCTCTTTTTGACCCATTTCCTTGTTGAATTCAGATTATAAATTGATTTCCAAAGCCCTGGCTAACAGGCTTGGCCAATATTTGCCAAAATTAATAAACCCAGACCAGATCGGCTTTATTTTTGAAACGCTCATCAGCCAATAACTTGTGCAGACTCTTTAATATTATCCATCTAACAAAATCTAAAACTGAACCTAGTGTAGCTGTAGCATTAGATGCTGAAAAGGCCTTTGATAGGCTAGAGTGGCCGTATTTATTCAAAGTTTTGGACAAGTTTGGATTTGGCCATTTGTTTATCAATTGGGTGAAAACCCTTTACCATAAACCCAGAGCCAAAATTACCACAAATGGACAGACTTCGACAGCATTTCCCTTGAGTAGATTGAGTCGACAGGGCTGCCCTCTGTCTCCAGGACTCTTTGTCCTGGCTATTGAACCACTTGCTGAAGCAATTAGACGGGATCCAGATATAAAGGGGTTCAGAGTGGACCAAATAAATCATAAAATTAATCTCCTGGCAGATGATGTAATTTTGTATCTAACAGACCCAGTTAACTCTCTCACTAAATTGCAGACGCTACTAAACACCTATGGTGCTATTTCAGGATACAAGGTCAATCTGGAAAAAAGTGAAATTATTCCACTCACGAACTTCGATCACACTGAATACCAACAAACAACCCCATTTAAGTGGCTTCCGAATATTAAATATCGAGGAATAATTATAGATAATGATCTTAAAAATTTGTACAAACTTAATTACCTCCCATTGCTGAGTAAAATCGAGGACGACCTACACAGATAGATGAATCTACCCATTACTCTAATTGGTCGAATAAACTGTGTGAAAATGAATATTCTCCCGAGGTTGCAGTATCTTTTCCAGTCCTTACCCATTCCATTACCTCAAACCATTTTTAAAACCCTCAACAAACACATTAGGCAGTTTTTATGGAACTGTAAAATACCAAGGGTGTCAATGGAAAAATTAACATGGGATTATAGTCTAGGAGGTTTTCGACTACCCAATTTGAAGAAATATTATTTAGCAGCCCAGATGCGATATATTTTGTCATTTTTTGACGGTGATGCTGCCCCCTCTTGGATACAAATTGCACTTCACCCTCTGAAAGAAGAAACCTCCAGTGATTTTATTTATAAATGGAACTCCAAAACCATATCCAAGAGGACAGACAATCCTATTTTGAAACATTTTATTAAAATATGGTATGAAGTTCACAAAACTCTTGGACTAAATATGAGACTATCACGAAAAACACCTCTAATACAAAATTAACTTGTGCCCATGACTCTAAGTAACAAGATTCTGGAGACTTGGCATGACAGAGGAATCCAGCATCTCGAAGATTGCTTTGATAAAGGACTCCTCATGTCTTTTGAAGAACTGAAGAGAAAATATGATTTGCCCAGTAGAACTTTCTTTTGTTACCTCCAGTTAAGATCCTTTTTGAGAACCAACCTGGGCCCTGGAATGACTCTACCTGTGTTAACTAATGTGGAAAAATTGCTTCACCAGGGAAATGTGTACAAATTTATTTCTAAAATGTACTCCATGTTGCTGAATTAGGGCCCAAAACCAGGATTACACAGATCCAGGATGAGATGGGAATCAGACTTGAACATAACAATTGATGAAGAACTCTGGTCAGATTTGTGCAAGAACAGTTTGTCAGCAACAGTTAATGCCAATTGTCAGAAATGTGTTTCAGATGTGGTATAGAGGTCGGCTCCTTCCTACACTGTACCTGGCTTTGCACAAAGGTGAGGTCCTTTTGGTATGACTTTTGTAATATAATAACTAAGATCACAGGGGTTACCTTTCCATTAGATCCTGAGCTATGTTTACTGGGAAACTTCACAACAGGTCTTTAACGAAGCTCCAAATTAAACTTACAGAAATTGCTTTATGTGTGGCCAGGAAATGTAATGCAATGACGTGGAAGTCTGATTCCCCCACTCTGACAAATGGTCTGTGGAAATGAACAGTTGCATTCCTCTTGAAAAGATCACATATAGTCTCAGAAAAAGATATCATTTATTTTTGAAAATCTGGCAGCCTTATTTGGAGTACATGGGTACAACACTAACAGTACCATACACTAACAAATTTCCCCGTTAAATTACAGTAAACAGCTGGCAGCTACAGCTTCCAGCATTCAACCTACTGTAATTTAGAACGGTTTAATACTGTAAAAATATTACAGTAGTGCTGTATAGAAAATGCATTGGTTATTTCAGTGTTCCTACTGTATTGTCCATGAACAGTTCATTACCGTAAAATGTATTACAGTACTATAGAATGTATATTTACAGTATGACACTGCTAGAAGCTAATGCTTTAAAAATGTTACATTTCAAAATAAAACCCCTGAAAATTGCAAGCATAGAAACGACTCAAACAAGAGATGGCCTTACATTAAAAAGCTTTTATTAAAGCCAATGCAGTGTCAAACACCTTCAATAACTGACAATTTGACAGTGATCATATTTTTGCAAAATACAAATAATAAAAGCAACATATAAAATCACATTCATTAAAATTGTATCAAACACATTCAGGAGCAAAAAACATTGTAAGTAATTACATTATTGTACAATCAGACAAGAACACTGAATCGTGTTGAACAGATTCTCAACAATCTACTGTGTATAAAACTCTTATAGTATTCTAAATGTAAAAGAGCACATCTGTAACTGCACGTTTGAGACAACAGGATAAAACAAAACAATTTTATCTCTCCTTCACCTTTGTGATGTCCTGCGTGGTAATGTGCCGGGACTACATAAAGCCCCACTCAAAGTCCAGGAGGTTTTTTATGAGGGTGGCCACATGGGGATTGACAGCTGCTGCCTTCTTCTGGACCAGCTTCCCTGTCTTTCTGGACACCACCTTCCCCTGGTTGGCCTTTGTCCCCCTTTCCGGGTTGAGACCAATGAAGCGCCTAAATAACAGAGAAAGCATATTAGGTGTAGTATGTAAAGAGTATTTGCACTTCATACTGAACCCCATTGAAATAAACAAATACAAAAGTTGTTTTCATTATATTGACCTCTGTGTCTACTAATAATGAGAGAATTATCTTATTTTCATCTAACATGTGTGTGAATATTTCAAACAAGTAAAAAATGTGAACATACAAGGTCTGATTTTTGTGCTCAATCATTTTGCAACATATTAACCTTCAGAAAAAAATCCAAACAATATTTAAGACCGCAGAAAACTTACCTTTGAACAAACTCCAGTGTCCTTGCAGCTTCCTCTTGGTATTGCAAGTTGAACACATAGTAGCTGGCGAAAACTGCAGCAAGCCCTGTGATGAAGCTCGGTTGGATGCCTTCACAGACGACGTGGCTTTCAATGCTCATCATCCACCGCCCAATTGTGACTTCGTCACCAGCAACTAATGCAGACAACAATTACAGTTAATGTTCTGAAACCATATCAAACATAGGAATTGGGGCCCTATCCAGGCATTTTTAAAGTATTGGAATTGGCTGATGAAGTTTTGAACTATATCTTTCCCCTTAACTACTGTATTTACATTGATTATTGTAAGTTATTCTGCTAGAAATGTTTTTTTACAGGACTTGGGAGGGCAAAAACAACATCAATGAGATAGCAACATCCATGGGAGAGCACAGCAAAACATACATTTATGAGACAGACATAATAAAGAGAAATTAGACAGACAGGCATGGAGTAAAGAATATAAATCATTCTGTCTAACTTATATGACACTTACCCAGCAGTATCAGTCGTGGACGGGCTGGAAGGGTCAGGGTGCGCTCCAAGTTGACTGCAGTGGCAGACATCTGTAGAACATGGACAATGGTATCCAAATTAAGAATGAAAGTGTGTGTACAGTAATTGTAGACATAAACAAACCAACTTACATCAGCAAGGAGTATCAGTCCCTCTGTTATCTCATCAAAGTAGGCCATCAGCAGCTGGATGACACGAAGAGTCAACTCCCCACCTTCACCCTGGGAGACAATAGATGCACATGTCAATCAACGTTTTAGCTCATATTTGCATCGACTTGCATCATAAGTGTCCCTTTCCTCATGGGGAGAAAAGCAACTTGACAACTCCTAAAAAACGTTTTATTTGAAATAACATTCGCCCCACAGTCAATTCTAAAATAAATTAAAGCCCTTTCACATAAACCTACTTAGATTTGAATACATCAATACTTACATCGGACCTTTGATTTAACAGTAATTGAATCCAAATTAAATTAACATAATGCTATAGCCCAAGTTAACATAGCCTCAATGCTAACGTTAGCTAACCATGCTAACGTTAGCTAACACAGCTTGTTGATTCAATTGCTGAGACATTCATTTGGGTGTCTTTGAAAAATTAAATAACTATCGCTGGTAACGTGGTTCGACAGAAAAATAACGATATTATGTTGTTAATCAAGAGTAACGTTAAGCTAGCTAAAGGTAGCTGGACACGTTAGCATGCATGCTAACAACAAGTCACCTTATCGACAAAAAAAAACAATACAATACAATGTAAATTCAACACAAAATGACTGAACACGGTCATGATAACTTTGACAACATCGAAATTACCTTGTTCAGTGAGCCACAGAGGCAGGATGGACTACGGTGTCCGCTGCGGTGTTTGTAGACGAGGTGAAGCAGCAGGTGGTGCTCGGTCTACTTCGGTGCTTCAGTCAGAGTTCGTGGAAAATCGTCTCCTCAAATGTTCTCTTTTTGTTATTCCTCCATCCTGTATAAAATCGCCGATCTATGCTATCTAAAGCTTTCTGTTCACTTTCTTTAGGTTGACTATGTGCTAACAAAGCAGTAGACACTTGATGCAATGTGATTTTGAAGAGTAATGGGCGGGCTTAGAGTCAACTGAAAAAGGAAAAAATACTGTAGTATACTGCAAGATTGTATGC